CCCCGCCCCCTGGTGGGCTGAGCTGGCCACACACACACACACACACAAATAAAAATAAATAAAAATTAAAAAATAAATTAATAAAAGTTATACACCTTAAAGAGCCCTACTAGCTAAATGGGACGAAAGTTCTGTGGAAATTAGATTTCTTTCTTTTTCTTTTCTGTGGGGTACTGGGTGGAAGTTAGATTTCTTATCATGAAAGTTAATGTTCAAGTAGTTTACAATTTCATGAGCATCTGCCAAATGTTTCAATCACAACCTTGAAACTATAGATGTTTATTATAGGAAATGGCATTGATACCCACAAGTATTTGATAAAATTCATTTGATATACACAAGCTTTTTTGTGTGTGATATTAGACTGAGGGCCTCATACACACTAGTAGGCTGTTGTATAGAATTTTACTGTTATTTTAATGCTGTAAGCTTTGCGTGCCATAAGAAGTTATATTTTCTCATCAGCAGTTTGTTTAATTAATTCAGTGTGTCACCTTTGATCTTGTTAAATTGGCAGGACCAAAGTCGTGACAACTTGGTCCTATTAGGAAAGAATCTGCAGACCTTTCTCTTGCCAAAGTATTTTATATAAAAAATAACTGAACAAATCTAACAGATTTGTTTTATAATGTCAGATAATTTTTTTTTTTCCTCTATGGTACCAAAATAAGGAAATCTAACTCATGTATTGAACATTCACAGCCACTGCCAAATACCAGTGGGAAAATGGAGCGTGACAGATTGCCGGCTTGGACACACTGATGCTCAGCCAAGTTGGTTTTGGCAGGTAGTGCCTGTGGGATTGGACTGGCCAGAGGGGTGAAAGTGAAGTTGTGTGGCTAAATTCCAAACATTCCAGAGAGATCTGGGAGGGTGGGTAGACAGGCTGGCTGAGGCCACTGTGGCTAATGATGCCAGCACAGATACAGGGAGAAGAAGGGGGGCTGACTCAGGCGAGTGATCCAGGTGCCCCTAAACCTCAGTATCCTCTCCAACCTGCTCACCCCTCATCCTCACCATTATTGTGTCCCTCGCAGAGCAGTTGCAGGAATCGGAACAGGTCTTGTGTGAATTCATCATCTGCCATGACCTTCTCTCCTGGGAGAACAGCAGGGGTCAGATCTTTCCAGGACACCACACACGTGTGCACACCATGCTTGCATGCTGCACTCACATGCACAAAGCAAAGGGTGCTGGGAGGAGAAGCCATCACTTCAAAGACACTATGAGAGCCATGAGCATCCATGACACCAGGTGTCTCAACCTCAGACCGCATGAGATCAGAAGATAGAGATCTACAGAGCCCTGAGTCATGAAGCTGGTGCCTCAAGTGTCTTTCTACAGCATCAGTGTCCCTCTGATGCCATATTTGGGTAATACCTGGGAATGTCCACTGACCCAGGGGACATTCAGGCAGATGGTATTGCCCTCAGCCTCCCTCCAGGCTTCAGGGGTTAATTGATTATGTGGGCTGGGGTCACTTTCACACAAAGGCTCTGTGCAGGGAATAACTGGGCTGAGATAAGGGATAGGGACTGAAAGCCAGCCAATTGGCCCAAATGCCTTAAAAGCAGCCAATCCAGGAGAAGCAGAGTAGGTGTGGAAACATGGGCCAATCGAAGAATGGGCATCTGAAAGAAGCCAATCATGGTGGGCTGTAAAGGAGAAGACTAGATCGTGAATGGGCCAATCAGAGCAGGCGCATAGGAGGCACGCGCACACCAATCAGAGAGGATGCTGGAGGCAGCCACTCTGATTGGTGTATAGGGAAACCATTTGACCAATCTGGGGTCAGGCGTGGAGGGCAGAGAAAGTGGGCATAGGGGTCACCCAACCCAAGGGCTGTGAATCTGGGCCTGGCAGTGTGAGACTCTCCAGCTGGAGGGGACCTTTGCTGTCTTTTCTATCCACCCCCCACAACACCCAGGATGTTCACAGTGAGCTGCCTCCCCATCCCTTTTGTTATTAGTATTTAAATTGTAAGTCTTGCTACATCACTAAATTGCCGGCGCTAGGCTTGAACTTTCAGTTTTCCTGCCTCAGGCTCCCAGAGTGCTGGGATTACAGCCATGTGCCACCAAATTTGGATCTTCTCTAACTTCTGTTCTACATATAAGGAAACTAAAATTTAGGAAAACACATAGTCCCCAGGGGCTAATCTGGGGCCCAAATCTTGCTCTCTGGATTCCCGATGGCAAGGCTTCCCAGTGGCACTGTACACCACTGCAGGCTTCCTCCCTTCCTGGGATGTCCCAGATCCTCAGCCCCCAGGTGGAGCAAGGTTAGGGGGAAGGGGATGGCAGTGGCACGCGAGGGGGCAGGTGGGGGGAATTACCGTTCTGGCGATTGATGACTGGGGCAGCCAACAGGATGGGAGGAGGAAGCAGGAAAAAAGAGGGAAAAAGAGACAAGACAGCAAAACACACAGTGACACAGTCAGAGACAGGGACACAAACACACAAGAGACACAGACAGCAGAGAGGACAGAGCCTCCAGGAGACAGAAGGAAGCAGATTAGCAAGGAAGACAGTGGGAAAGGAGGGCAAAGCAGAGGGGAGGGGAGAAAGAGAAGAAGGGCAGGTAGAGGAGCAGAGGCAGGAGTGAGGATCAGGTAGAAAGGTTAGACACGTCAAAACACAGCAAAGAGGAGACTCCATTAATCCGGATTAGGGACATTAATGAGAGAACAGCAACCAGGGAGTGAGACTGGGGTACGGAAGGGCAGGGTCCCCATGGTGATGGGAGAACGCAGGCCAGGTGACACCTGGGGTGGGGACCGTGAGGAGGGAGACCCTGGAGGAATGGGCTGGGGATGGGGGTCACAGCAGGAGCAGAACTCGGGGAGCTCCCGGAAAAGGGTGTCTTAGAGGAGGGGGTCTGGGCAGTGGCGGTGGAGAGGGAGGTGGATCTTGAAGGAAGATGAAGTCCCAGGGAGAGGGAAGCCCAGGAGAGGGCCTCACCGGTGCCGTCCTCGTTCACCATCCCCAGCCCCTCTGCCTTGTTCTGTCTCTCGAAGGCATTGAGATCCAAGACACTGAGAAGACAGGAGATGAGACCTCTGCCCTCTTCTCTTCCAGGGCCCACCACGCCTAAGTCATGGGAGGCTACACCCAGCCCTGACCCACCCCTGCACCTCTCTCACTCTGGCCCTGGGCAGCAAAGCAAGGCTAAGGCGAACCACATGTGAGCTGGAAGTGGGGGACCACCCAAGCCACCAATCAGCAAAAGCAACAAGAGGATGGAAAAGGTTGGCTGACAGCAAGAGGCGAATAAAGGCAGAGCCTGGTTAGCAGGGTCTTCAGACGGAACCCAAATTCCTGCTGCTCAGTTTTCCCCAAGTTCTCAATCTTCTGACTCCATTTCCTGGAATCTATATTGCTGTACAACCTTTTTACTTTATTTTTGGTGCAGAGAATCAAACCCAGGGCCTTCTGCATGCTAGGCAAGAGTTCTACCACTAAGTTACATCCCACTCCCATAATACAACTTTTTTTCTTTTTTCTTTTTTGGAGACAGCATCTCACTATGAAGTTGAAGCTGACCTTAAACTCACTACACAGTCCAAGTTGATTTTGCACTTATGGCCATCTTCCTGCCTCAGTCTCCCAAGTGCTGGGAACACAGGGATGGGCCACCAAGCCTGGCATCATACAACTCATTCTTTTTTTTTCTTTTTTCTTTTGTATTTAAGACAGGGTGTACAGGGTGTACAGGGTCTCACTGTGTAGATCAGACTCGCAGTGATCCTCCTGTTTACAGCCTCCCGAGAGAGAGCTGGGATTACAGGTGCAGGCCACCACGCCCAGTCTCAGCGTACCCTAGGGGTGAAGCCAGCATGGCAGATCTGGGGATCAAACTCCTGGCTCCTGTGTCTGCATATAACTCATTCTTAAAGCCTGTGACATTCCATCTCCCTTACTGTTCTACATTAATTGTTTTGTTATGTTCTATTACTGAGGATCAAAATTCACTGAATTATACCTCCAGCCCATTTTTTAAATTTTAGGACAGGGTCTTACTAAATTGCCCAGGCTGGGTCTGAACTTGTGACCCTCCTGTGCCAGCCTTCTGAAGTTCAGATTACAGGTGGACATTACAGGTGGGCACCAGTGTGCCCAGACACATCAGTTGTTGTAATAAATTCCATGGCAGATAAGCTATTCTGAGTGGATCTCTTCCTATACCAAGAGAGTAGAACCAGAACTGGAAGTGGCACCCGTAGGTGGGGGCCACGCCAGCATAGCTGAGCAAGAAGAAGGATGCAAAAGCCCACCTGCATGTTTGCATCAGCGCCTGGATGCTCTGGAAGAAACCCACTTCCTTCTTGTCCTTCAGATAATCCAGCATTTTCTACACAAGGAGGGACAGAGAGAGGAGGGAGTCACATGGGAAATTTGACCTCTCCCGGGCCCCTCCCAAGTCCCAACCCTCCACCACCTGCTGCACGTCAGCATTGCCTCCGTTGAGGATGGAGATGCCTAACTTCAGTGTGGAGGACACCATGGTGCCAGTCTCTCCTGGAGAGAGATGGGGGAAATGATTTGCAGAACCTTCCCGGCACTGTGGGAAATGGGGTGACAGTGTATGCAAAGGCCCACAGGCAGCACAGGGTGCGATGGAGGGATGGTGGGAAACTGCAAGGTAAATGCGCAAGGGCAATTTGGCAGGGCTTGGGTGTGAGCGCACATCCCAGGCATGCAGTGGTGGCAGAATGTGCCTGCTGGGACCACAGGGAACTGTGACACCATGAAGGGGCAGGGCAGGGTCGGCACACTCTGAGGCCCCGGGTGCCTTGCGGCGGGCCGTACCTTTGCAGGCGCTGATCATCTGGAGCACCATCTCAGCAGCACCCCGGTTGTGCAGCCGTGACTGCTGGTACAGCAACCTCTGCTTCTCCATCTCCTTCTCCTGCAGCAGAGAGCGGATCGTGGGCTGAGCACACTGCGCCAGTAGCCCAGCCTATCCCCGCCCCAGCCCTCCGTGCTCCAGCCTCATCCTCGATGCCTTCCTTTGACACTGGGCTCCCTCCATCCCCTGGGACTTCCATCCTCAGTGTTGCTCCTGTACCTAGCACAGGGTTAGGCATGGGACAGGTGCAGGAATTGGGGCTGGGGATGGAGCAACCTGAGCCTGGGGCCACAGACCTCCAGGAGATCAGTGGATGGAGCCCAGGCTGTTTGTAAATCTGGATAAGGAGAAAAGTTACGTGCCCATGCACGCGCTATCCAAGCACTCTACTACTGAGCTATGCCCCACCATTTTTAAAAATTTTATTTTGAACACCTCAAACCTGCAGTTCTCCTGCCATAGCCTCCCAAGGAGCTGGGGTCACGGGCATCTGCCACCACACCCTGCTAGAACACTTCTGTTCTTCAACTGGCAATTCTGTTTAGCCTTCTGCTTGGACACCTCCTCCTCTGAGAAGGCCTCCATGATGCTCTCACCCAGGCTGGGCTTTCACACCTTGCTGAGCGGCCCCTGCCCTGGCTCTGAGTGGTCCCTGCCCACACGCCCCCACTCCCACCACTGTGGCGAGTACCCTGTGCTGTTCCTGTTCGGTTTGTATGTCTGGCTTCTTAGTGGGCTGACCTGGTCACCGCTGGATCCCTAAGCACTGCTCTGTGCTACACGCTGAAGATATAAGATGACCAAAGCTGGGGCTCCCCAACCCTCCCTCCAGGACCTTCTGGTCCCACCTACCTCGAAGGACACCTCAACTTCCTCTTCTTGAGCTTCACCATTCTCCCCTCCCTCCTCCAGGTGGCAGCTCTGGGGAGAGGGGGAGAGGACCTCAATTAAGGGGTGATGGTGACAAAGGTGATACTCCTCCCACACCAGCCCTTTCAGTGAACAGGCAGTGTGGCCAGGAGACAGGGCAGGGCCTCACCTTTGCCATGATGTCAGCATATGCGATGTACAGGTAATCCTCATCTAGTTTGCTGAGAAAGGAAGCAGGAAGGTCAGGATGCAGTGGAGAGCACCTCCCATTATCTTTTGTGTGGCCCTGGAAATCAACCCAGGGGTGCTCTACCTAGGAGCTACATCCTTCTTCCAGGTTTTGATTTTGAAACAGGCTCTCACTAAGTCACTAAGTTACCAGGCTGGATTTGAATTTGTGATCCTTCTGCCTCAGCCTCCCAAAGTGCTAGAATTACAGGGATGTGCCACCATGTCCAGCACCCCGCCCCATCTTATAACAGTTCCTATTTCCTTTTGGAGAGTCACTCCTCCTCACGTTCAGCTGTGTGGGTCAAGTGGCAGTGATGACAGTAGAGCCAATTTATACTTCTGTCAGCTGGGCCACAATGACAGGAAAGAGATGGTCATGCAGCCTATGCTGGTCAGTGGAATTCACTCAGGAGTTTTGCTGGAACTCCCTTCCCACTGGGGCTACAGAAAGCGATGGACGGCCAAGGCCTCCAGGGCCATCTTGCCATTGCTGTCTTGGTTCACATAGCAACTCAGGTCAATCACCTTCTCCTTGGGTCTTTTCTACAATGAATGGCCAACTCCATTGAGCATTTACTCTTTGTTCCTGTTCTAAGTTATATCTCTATCTCTATATCTATCTATCTATCTATCTATCTATCTATCTATCTATCATCTATCTATATCTTCATTTTCATAGCAATCCTATCAAGTGGGTACACTGCTAGCCTCATTTTACAGATGAGGGAACTGAGGTACAAACAAATTTCCCAGCCAGGGTCACAGAGCTTGTACTATGATTCAACCTAGATAGTCTAACTCCAAAGTCAAGAGTCTCCCACAGTCTATAAAACAGGCCACTCAACTTCCCAGTGTCCCTTGCAACCAGCACTAGCAGAATGTCAGAACTTTGGTCAGTGATGTGCAGAAGCCCTCCAGAAACAGCTTCCTTTGCTTCATGAAAAGATCAAAGTTCTTGCTTAGAGGGATAATAACCATTCCTGTGTTTTCTTCCCAGCATCTATCTTGTGACCATAAGACACAAGCTATGAATGGCATGCAGAAAGTTAGAAAGCACTCAGGGTCCTTGTCAGTCACCATGCCATTGTCCAGCCTGATCGTCTAGCTCCTGACCTCACATTGTGTGGAAAATAAGTCCCTGTGCCTCTATTTGCTCATTTACAAGGAGCTGACATAATGTTTTTTTCATGGTGTAACAATTAAGTGAACAAATACATAGGTCAAGTGCTTTGCATGGTGCCTGACATAATAAGCACTCCATAAATGGTGCCTATTATTATTATTATTATTATTATTATTCTCATTTTATGTATTTGGGACAGGGTTTCACTACGCACTTCAGACTCACAGCGATCTTCCCGTTTTCAGCCTCCCCAGTGCTGGGATTATAAGCGTGCACCACCACACCCAGACTCAGTTGCTGGCTCAGCGCACCCTGGGGGGCAGGGGGCGGTGCAGCATGCGGGACTGAGGATTGAACCCTGGTTCCTATGCTTGCCAAAGCAGGGGCTTAGTCCACTGAGCTATCTCGCTGGCCCTCTGTGATTATTATTGTCATCATCATTATTAGCAGCAACATTCTTATTTTCATTATTTATTCCAAAGATTGCCTTTAGTGTGTATGGAAGGTTCAAACAAATTAGAGCAAGGGACTACTTTATTTTTTTCTTTTTGTCTTTTGGAGACAGGGTCTTCCTATGCAGTTCAGGCTGGCCTTGAGTTTACTTTGTAGCCCAGGCTGGTCTCAAACACACAGCGATACTCCTGCCTCAGCCTCCTGAGTGCTGGGATTACAGAGGCGTGCTACTACACCTGGCTCTACTACTTTCATCTGTTGGAAATTTTATCATCTATATTGATTTTTCCAATAACATCCTGATTTTGTTTAGGAACACTGGCTTCCAGGAGAGCCCAATCAATACATCTACAACATGATGTGATCCCTCAAGGAGGTGCTCTTGTGATGTGTTCAGCCTGCGCCACAGTACAGGCCGCCCTGCCTGTTCTAGCAAAGTGACATGAAAATGTCAGCTCTTCTGGACTTTCTTCCCAAGACAGGGGGTGGAAGGTATTCCTGTACTGGGAAAGGTTCTCACCTCTTTTCAGTCAGGGCAGTGCGGCTAAAGTGCAGGACCAGCTGGTGAAGGGGATCCGGCTTTTTCTCCTCCTCTTCCTCCTCCTCCTCATCTTGCTCCCCAGCTTTCTGGGAGAAGAGGTGGGACCTGGGCGCGTGCTTTTTGGAGTCCTCTCCTGTCTCCCCCCAGAGCCCTGCTGGGCTGGAGAGGTCCCAAATCCTGCCTCATTTTGTCTGGCACTGGTATTGAAGCCAGGGCCTTCTCACTGGGATACATCCTCAGTGCCTGCCTTTTTTTTTTTTTTTTTTTTTGAGACAGGTTCTTGATAAATCCCTAAATTGCCCAAGCGGGTCTCAAACTTGCAATCTTCCTGCCTCAACCTCCCAGAGTGCTGTGATTACAGGTGTGTGCCACCATGCCTGACTATGCATCCTGGTTCCCCCCAAGCCACAACTCCCATTTCTGTAACTCTCAATGAGGAGGGCGCCCCAGCCCTGACCAGCCCTGCCCCCACCCTCCAGGCAGGCCCCAGCTCACTGAAAGGTCATCTATCATTCGGTCCTCAAAACTGTGGTCCTCACTCAGGAGCCAGCCAGCCTTGTAGCTCTCCAGGAACATGTTACATGCCCGGTGCCTGCACAGCAAAGGTCTGGTGTCACAAATTTCTCTCCTCCAAGCCTCCCCCATGCACCTGCCCCCACACTCTTCCCAAAACTCCCTCGTGTTGGCCCTCCAGCCCCCAGACCCGCAGCTAGCCTTCCTCCATGGGCCCTAGAGCCTCCCGCCTCCCTGGAGGCCTTACGTGGGCAGGTTGTACAGAGGTGTCATGCGGAAACAGGCCACCACCGCCCGCCGACGCTGCTTGGACAAGAGCTTGTGCCACACGGCCTTCTTGGACTTGTAAGGGTGCTCAGTCTGTGGGGATAGCCACCATATCCCTGAGCCTGGCGCTGGCCTGGTTCTAGTCCCCGCCCTGAGGGAACCTCCCACGCGTGCCCAGGTCCATATGCCAGTCAGTCCACAGCAAGAACACCTTGTCTCCAACACAGTCAAGAATCTAGCTCCACCTGCAGACCTAAACTTCCATCCTAGGCCGGAGCCCCAGACTCCAGGCGTCTCCAGGAGGCCCCACGTTTAATCCTAAAAGTTCTGCTGTGTCCACCGGCCCACCCTTAGACTCTAGGTAGAGCACCGAGTCCTCCCACTTCCTCTCGTCCAAATTTCCATCCTGAGCCCCACCTTAACACTCAAGGCTCCACCCTAGACCGCTCACAGACCCAAATTCATCCCCAGGTCCCACCCACGGATCCACAGCCAATCCCAGGGGTGCGACGCAGCTTCGGCCAATCAGCAATAAGCACCTTGGGGCCCCGCCTACCTGGTCCAGGTGGTAGAGCACAGCCGACACTTCCTGGACTCTGCGCACGATTTTCTCCGGGTCGTCGGCGTCCTCCTCGCGGCCGGGGACGCCCCGATATAAAGCCATCTGCCAGCGCAGAGACGGGGAGCCCTCGACCTGAAGGAAAAAAGGTCGGCCAGTGTGAGCGCACCTCCCATCTCGTACCGTCGGCCTCACCGGCCGCCCATTCCCTCTCCGTACTTGGTGAGGGCGAGTGAAGGTCCCTTGGATGCCAAGTACACATTAAGCGCTCAGACGTTCACTATCACTATGGTATTCTTCCGGGCAGACCCTTGGGTTTCAGATTAAAGGGACTTACTTTTCCCTGTAGATTAAGGTTGTTTTGCAGGAATTCCCGGACCTCCTCATCTGTGTCTTTCTGGGAAGACATGGTTTCCAGGGTCACGCTGGAGGTCCCAGCCTCCTCTGTGACCCACAGTCCTCTTATAGGGGGGCCACCCCCTGCCCAGCTAGAGGTCTGTGTGGAGAGGACTCTGGAAAACTGAAAGGACCCAGAGGACCCACAGGTGGGCAGCAGTCAGAAAGCTTCTAGAAGGATAAGGAAGTGACATAGGCACCTCGAAGGGGCCTTGTGGAAGTCTGAGAGGAGGGAAGGAAGGGTAATGAGAATATATCCTTAAAGGTCAGGTAAAGCCAAGGAGGGTGTCAGGGGAAAGAGGAGGGATGGGGCTTCTGAAGATAGGAGGTGGTAAGAGGGGCTCTGAGGGAATTGGCATGGTCAGCAAAGGTCACAGGGGAGCAGCATGGGGTTTGCTTAGGGTTCCTGCAGAGGGAGCCCTAAAGGAACACAGTAAGGGCTCTAGAGGAATCTTTGGGATTCTCAGAGGAACTTGAGGTCCTGAGGGAAAGAAGCCTTCAGAGTCTGAGGAAATGGTCCTTGTGGTACCAGGAGCAGTCATGGTCCTCAGGGCCCAAGGGGTTTCATAAGTTGTCAGTGCTTAGCAGTGTCAGGGTGGGGGGAGGGTTACGGGGGTCTGGGGCCAAATCCTAGGGCTACTCTAAGGGTTCCTGAGGCTGAGAAGGATGGGGGACCCTGTCCTTGCCATTTCATACAGGAGCTGAATGTGGTATGGCTTCCTTGGGGTCCCAGAAAGCTTAAGAGGTTTTGGTGGCCACAATCTCCAGGTTCCTTGAGCCTTCAGAGGTCTGGGTGTGTTCCTGGAGAAGAGGCCATTAGGACTGGGATCCCTGGGGGCTACGGTGGATCCTAGGGGCTCACTGTGCCCCTCACCACCCTGGGAGGCTGCTTACTGTCAACAGACCCCAAGTAAAGGGATCAGCAGAGTCTGAAGGCAAGAAGAAGTGAGCTGGGAGGCTCAGTGGGAATGCGAGACATTCAGTCCTGAGCTATGGAGGAGGGCAGGGGGGCTCGTCAGGAACTCAGCTGGCTCCCAAGGGTTTGTGTGGTCTTGCTGAAGGGCGCAAGGAGTCTCAGAGAACCTCCTGGTGTCTTGGGATATCCTGAGGATCTCAGTAGGTTTGGTGTGGGCTTGGGGGGTTAGTGGGGTTCACAAGCTCACAAGAGTCCCAGGGGTCCTAGTAGCATTTCAAGGTTTCAATGGGTTTCTGTTAGAAGGACTGTGGGGCCCTGACAGTATCTTGAGTAGGGTCCTCATTATCCCGGGGAGGGCCAAGGGCACTCCTGAGGCCTCAGCATTCAGGTCCTAGAGAATTTAGTGGGGTGCTGCAGCAGGGCTTCCAGGGTCTTGAGGGACTCCACAGGACCCCAGAGGTTCAGGGAGTTGCCAGGCAGGGCTGGATAAGCACCAGAGCATAGCGGGCCTTGGCCAGCGTGATGAGCTCCTGGTCAGTGGGCGCACACATGTTCAGGCCGATGGGCAGCATCTTCTTAAGCGTGGCCACAATCAGGGATGTCTGCACGGAATATCGGTCCCCCCGGCGCTTCTTCTTGGTGCGTTCCTGGTCCGAGCCACCGGACTGTAGGGACACAGCATTCAGTGCCTGCCTCAGTCCTGGCTTCCTGTCCTGGCCCCAACCTGAACCACTATCTACTCTCTAGCCCCAACCTCAGAGCACACTTTTGTCTCCACCTGATCCTGCTGATCCTGCACCTTGGTCACCCAACCCAGACAACATCCCCATGCTCCAGCCCACATCCACAATTCAAGCCTTTCAGATCATCCCCATTTCCAGGCCTTTCTCAGGCTCTGGAGGTGCTCTCCCAGAACCCCTTATGAAGTCTCAGTACAGTACCCCCACTCTAACATGCACAACCCCACACTTCACATCCCAAGACTGAGTTCCCAAGAATGAAATGAAGATGCAGGCCCACAAAGAATCCCAAGAGACAAGAGAAGTGGAAGAAGAAGAGTGACAGAGATTGGGACAAAGAGATGGAGAGACAAGATGCAAGAGAGACCCAGAAAGATCTGGAAGCACAGGCATGGGGCACAAAGTTCCACAGCCGTGTTCTGGAGCCTTGGATGCAGACCCCTGGCCAGGGCCACCCTGTCATGCCAAAGAGAAGCCCCAGGGACAAGCTGCGGCCAGACCACATCCACACTGGCTGGCAGTATCGAGCGTGACCCAGTGCCAGGCTGCTGGAGGCCACACATGCAGCATCTTGCAGAGTCCTCGAAGAGACCTGGGCCCAGGGCCCCTTGGCTGCATGCCATCAGCAGCTCAAAAGGGTGACCCTTGGCCAAGGTCACACAGCTGACTACCATCGCAGGATCGTAACCAAGTCTGTTGGATTCCAGAGCCCAAGCCTTCCCCACTGCATGTCGAGAGTGCCACCTCCCCAACCATGCATCTTTGCACCCCATTCCTCTTGATTTCAGCCCATGATGCTTTGGGGGAAGCTAAAAATTGTTTGTTTGGGTTTTTTTGGTAACAAAAACAAACAAACAAACAAAAAATCAACAAATTGCCAGCTGAGGATTGGGAAGGGAATGGATGGAGGAAGAAAAGGATAGAAACCTAAGAATAAGGGATGAGGCACAGACTGAGGATGGGGGTGGGGTTTTGGAGGGAAAGGGATATTAGCCAAGAGCCATGCAGAAGGTCCCAGATGTGGGGCTGACCTGTACGTCTCCCGCCTGCTTCATTGGGTCACAGACAGAGACAAGAAGGGTTACCCCAGCCCCACAGCGAACCCCAGGTCCAACTCCACATTGGCAGCACCCCCACTCCTCCACCCGCCCTGTCACCCATCCCTTAGTTGGCCATTTCCAGACCTTAGTTGGGGTGGGTAGGTTTGTTTCTTATGGCCCCAAAGAGGGCAGGTCTAGGATGGTGGTGGGGAGAGGAAAGGGAGGACATGGGGTAAGGAAAGGAGGAGAGACCTGAGAGATGGGGAGAGGGAGATGGGAGCTAGGACAGACAGCAGCTCTGAAAGCTGCAGGAAACGTGCCCAGCACAGGCCAAACTGGCTGGGTGGGTTGAGGGTCAGAGGACTGCCAAGGGTGCTCCTTGCCTCCCTGCCTGGTCTTCCTCCCAGAAGCAAGTACCCACCTTGGCCATTTTGCTCTTGTTGTCAGCAGTCAGAAAGGACATGTTGTTGATCTCATTCTGGACCACAAAGTTCTGCTCCTCGCGCTTGAAGTTCTGTTGGGGAGGCAGCATTGGGGGTCACCAAGGTGAAGGGGGAGGCCACCTGCGGACAGCTTCTCTGCTCATGGAGAGGACAGTGGCATGGGCAGGGACTCACATGCGACTTGGACCAGTAGATGAAGATCTCGCCCACCATTCTGAACAGCTCCTCAGCGTTGGGGTTTGGTTCTGTCAGCCAGTGCGCCCTGGGGTCAGTGGAGGGGCTGGTGAGGGTGCAGGGATCCCCAGGGAATTGGGCACCCAGAGAGCTCAGAAGGGCAAGGGGCCAGGAGACATCCAGTGAGCGGGATGGTGTTTTCTATTGGAATCTGGCCATTCTGGTAAATGCTTAATATTTTACTGACTATCCCTTTAAATGTTTTCCGATTTAACCTTTGTATGGAAATAAGTGTACACAGATAAAGAAATGTCAGCTTGCTTAATTATCAGAAAGTGAACACACGTGTAACTGCCAGCCACGGAGAACTTTTCTGGTCCCTCACACCCCTTCCCTACCACTCCTCCTTCCTTCCCCCTGAAAGATGACCCTCATCCTGTCTCTTAGGCCAGGCATTATTTTTTTTACATGCATTATTGTTATCTGTTCTTTCTTTATGTGTGTGTGTGTGTGTGTGCGTGTGTGTGTGTGGCCAGCTCAGCCCACCAGGGGGAGGGGCTGGCTGGCATGTGGTGCTGGGGGATTGAACTGCGGTCCCTGTGCTTTGCTAAGCTTGTTCTAAATAGGTGCGTTAGACCACTGAGCCATCTCACCAGCCCCTGTTATCTGTTCTTAAACATTGCATAGACTCTATTTTTTTTTTCCTGGATTCCTTGAACCTGATGTTTGTGTGATTTATCTGTACTGGTACGTGTCACAACTCGGTCACTTTCACGGCCATGTACTATTCTGTTGTATGAACACCACGCAATGTGTTCGTTGCCTTTGACCCATTGCTCCCGTTCCTAGAAATCTACTATAGCAACACCCACTTGGGAGCACAGCGATGGACAGGTGTGCGGCACGGGTTTGCCACACTGTTAGTCACAGAGAAATCAGAAAGAACCTAAATAATCCACCCAGAGAAGACTGGCGGATATCGAGCCATATCCAGCTGCAGGAAATGCCACCCAACCACAGGGAAAAAAAGAGGAGGATCCATGCAGATTTCCCCTCTCATCAGTGGGGGATGTGCTCCAAGGTCCCCACTGGGTGCCTGAAACCGTGGAAGGTGCCACACTTTCCATACAGCTAAAGCTGACAGCGACTGTGTACTGGCATTCAAGCAGCATACGTGAGCAAATCTAAGTGGGCTGGATTTTGCTGGGCCAAGATAAAAGCCAGAAGGGATAAGGAGAGAGGGACAGAGGCTGGGTGGGTCAATGAGGGCCTGGAGAAGCGGCCACACGTCAGGCTGGGGGATGGCCCGGTGGGTGCAGGAGTCGAGTCCAGATGCCTTACGCGTGGACAGGCTGGGGCTTTGCTGACCTGTTGTTGTCCACGTATCGGATGAGCAGTGGGTAGAGGGCATACAGGTCCCGGCAGAGCACGGAGAATTCGTCCCGCACCAGGAGCTCCCCTTCCTCGGCTTCCGCCTTGGCCTCTAGACGCAGCTGCTCCTCCTCGGCCACCACCTTCCCAGCGCGCTTGCGCAGCCGCCCGATGGTGGGGATGAAGTGGGAGCGCAGGAGCTCAGGCCGCGCGCGACTCACTATGGGCTGGGCAAATACTGCAGGGACGCAGGGCAGGGGTCACTCGTTCCTGATCGCTGACTTCTGACACCCCCACTCACCTCCAGCATAGTCCTTGATTGTCATGTCCAGCCCGTGCCTGCCAACCTGTACCTCTGACCCAGCAACGGTCATGTGAGCCCAGCCTGACCCTAGCCCCTAGCCCCTAGCCCACTGCCTCCTCTGATCCCACTCCTGACCTCAACCCTGAGCTCTGATATTGCCCCTGAACTCCACAGTCCCTGTACTAAACCTATACCCCAGGCCTATCCTGTAACCCCAGTCTGATGTAGTCCCTGATCTCTGAGCCCCAACAACTTTTTTTTTTTTTTTTTTTTTTTTCCGTACCAGGGATCAAATTCAGGACCTTGTGCTTGCCAGGCAGGTGCTTATGCCACTGAGCTATCTCCCTGCCCCTGAGCTATATTCCTGATCCCCCAACTACTGAATCCTAACCTGCTATCTAACCCTTAAGCAGCCTGACCCTGACTCCATGCCTCAGCCTCTGACCTGGCCTATTTCAGACCTGGCCTACTTATGTAATTTCTCACTATGACCCTTGCTTCTTAGCTTCACCTCTGACCTCTGACCCTATCTCTGATGCCAGTCCTGACTCTGTGTGTGTGTGTGTGTGTGTGTGTGTGTGTGTGTGGTGGCTGGCTCAGCCCGATTTGGGGTAGGGCTGGCATGACATGTGGTGCATGTGGTGCTGGGGTTCAAACTCCAGTCCCTGCACTTGCCTGAGCAGGCACTTTTTTTTTTTTTTTGGCAAAACCGCGGAATGAACTGAGATCCTTGCACTTTCCAGGGAAGTGCTTATTCTAATGAGCCATCTCCCCAGCCCAGTAGGCACTTTAGACCGCTGAGCTATCTCACCATCCCTAAAGCCTGATTTCTGATGGGAATGTTTTTTGTTTTTTTTTTTTTGTTTGTTTTGTTTTGGCTGGGTAACCCAGGATGGCCTTGAACTTGAGAATCCCAACAATTTAAAGACCTCTTTCCTGACCTCTGGCCTAGAACCCTAGCTGTCAATATCAGAGACCCTGATGCCTGACCTGGCCATCTGCTCTTTTATACAAGTAACTCAGGCATCTGACTCAGCCCCTAACCTCAGGTTTAACCCTCTCCAAGGCTATAGAAATTCAGAGCCAATCCTGGAGGACTCCCAGGACCCATCCATCCACCTAGAGCCCTGTGATGCTGATTCTGACCCCAGGAAGACCTACCCTTGGACACTTCTCAACTCCCATGAGACCTCAGAGCCCAGGGTCTCCCTCTGTACCATCTGTCGAGGGACACCCACCAAACAGCAGACTCCAGGGGCCCAGAGCCCCACTCACCAGCCAGCCGTTTCATCCACGAGGCCTCATCAATGCCCAGGTTGTTGACGATGATTCGCAGGATATTCCCCAGCAAGGAGTTGAGGTGGTCGGAGGTGACAGCTGTGCAGGGTGGGGGAGCACCAGCAGGCAGGGCAGGTGGGGGTGTCTCGGGCCCACGCTCCCACCAGCGGGGCAGGTAGCTGCACAGCATGGGCAGCGTGATCTCAATGACGTGTGGCATCTCTGTGTAGCGGGCTCCAGACTCAGCCAGGCCCCCAATATCCGCCATGAGCCGATCCAGGACTGGGATGTCAGGACACATCTCCTCCACACTGTTGGGGAGCCCCAGGACTGGGGGTGCAGGCAGGGGTCAGGGCATGCCAGCCCATAGCCTCCAGGCCTCAGTGCCCTGACCCCCATATACATTAGCTAGCTTCCCAAACCCCAATCTTCTCACCCCAGCCCCAACCCAGACACAGCTCGCAACCCTGACATTGAAACTCAGCAGCCTCCTAAACTCTTTGTATCCCCAGGCCTATCTGTCTCCTAAAATTGCACTCAAATTCATCTCACCTCTAGAAAGCTTCACTCCTAAAATCTCAAACACTGCACCCTGCTATGCAGCAACTACAGAAGGGACCCTTCCCCACCTGGAAGTTCCACCTTCTCTCTCTCTCTCTGAATCCCACACCGATTCTGTCCCTTGGAATATGAAATCCACCATGCACTGGCTGTCCTGCCGAGGGCCAGGCCCTGGGTGTTGGGAGCACAGCAGTGATGAAGAGGATGTTTCCTCGCTGGAGCTTTTCTTCCCTGAGACCCACATCTCCATCTATTCCCTGCCTCTGGGAACCTAAGAGATTTTTGTCCATTCTGTCTGGTTGCTGCTGAATCTCAGAACAGCACCTTGTCCATAGGATATAAATACTTGTTGAATGAAGAATGAATGAATGAATGAACAAATGAACCCATGCTTTTCCTAATCCCCCACACTCAAGGACCCCTCACCCAAAACACACCAGTGCTGGCAAATCCCTGTGTCCTCAAGCTTCACAGCGCCCTCAAGTTGCTACCTCCAAAACACCTCCAAAAGCCACCCCTGACCTAGTTCTTTCCAGGATCCCCAAAATGGGATTCCTGCTTGTGGAGCACCCACATCTTGGGGGATCCTCAGTCCCTCACAGCCTAGATTTACCATCTCAATACCCCCAAGGACCCTGCAATGGGTAGAATACGACCCCAGGCAGCTCCAGCCCCACATGACTCACTGGCCCGCTCCCGGGGTGACTTGGTGGTGTAGACGGAGCAGGCGTTGTACTCATTCAGCTGGGGCTCCAGGAAGGCCACCGGCATGGCCGCTGCTAGGCGGGCCAGACACTCGCCAAGGGCTGGCCGCAGCCTGGAAGGGCACATAAGTCGTGTTCTGTCTAGGTCCAGAGTCCCAGCCTCATCCCACCTACATGGCTCTCCTCCCGCTCTCCCAGAGTCCTCTGGGGCAGAACACGGACTACCAGGGCTTTGTGACTGTGGTGCTGCTTGAAATGATCCTCCCCAGTCCTTCTCGTGGTTCTACATCCCACCCCGTTTCTGCGTGTCCTCCCCACCAAGGACAAGCTTGTTTCCCAGAGATTTTTTTTTTAACCGGGGATTGAACTCAGGCCCTTGCACTTATTCCACGGAGCCATCTCCCCGGCCCTTGTTTCCCAGAGAGAAGCAACCTGGCATCCTGGCTAGCCTGCGAGTGCCAGGTTCCTTCCTGGGGCACCCAGACTCCGGGGCTTCCACCTTGGCGGCTGACCTCCGGAGCGCCCTCAAGTGGCAGCCACGGGAATCGCAGCTGCTCCAGAATGTTGGCAGTTTTGAATTTGTGCCTCTCTCCCTCCTCATCTCCCCACTTCTGAGCGTGTCCACCTTTCCTTACTTTTCCACGTAGGGGTTCCTCGTGGTTCCCAGAGAGTAGATACTGCACAGTGTTCTGTAGCAGGAAACCTGGACGTCATCCACTGAGGGGGAGAAGGAGGGCGAGGGTCTGATGAGTCCCCTGTACCAGACTTCCCTACCCGCTGCCCTGTCTCCAAGTAGACTGGCAGGGGTGAGGGCAGACCCATAGAGCCAGTATGCCATTGTGACACAAGCAAGGACCAATTCTCTCTTATCCTCAGTTTCCCCACCTGTAAATGGGAATGACTATAATACTTCCCCACGGAGTGGTTGGGAGAAGCAAGTGGGTTAGTTGTGGAAGCATGCACCTCAAGGGCATACAGCGGGTGCCCAGTAGAGGCTCCTGTTCTTTCCTTTGGGTCTCTTTGATGAAAGTGGTCTGTATTTCTTCCAGAAAAATGCAGACATACAGGCAAGCGCACCCCTGAATCTTCGGCTTGTCCCTCCTATCACTGTATACCCAATAAGTAGAAGCTGGCTCCCAGCTTCTTGAATATAAGATACAGGGGCTGGGGAAGTAGCTCAGTAGAAAAAGTGCTTGCCTGGAAAGTGCAAGGTCCTGAGTTCAACCCCCAGTACCGCGCCCCCCCCCCAAAAAAAAGAAGAAGCGAGTATAAGATACAACCTTACCCCCCACAAGGCACTTGTCCCTAAACTTGTGGGCAGGACCTGCTAGAACCGGAGCCTCTCACCTAACCACAATATCCTTATCATACCTTGAGTATACTTAAAGTCTTCCTTATCACCCAGAAAGTGTCTCATTTTTTTTTTTTCTCTTTTTGTTTTGTTTCGTCTTTTTATCTTAAAGATGGGCTTTGGCGTGTTGCCTTAGAAAGTCCTGGGTTCAGGTGACCCTCCTATCTCAGCCTCCTAGGTAGCTGCGATATCAGGCATTCACCACCATGCCCAGATTGTTTTTGACTAAAAACAACAACAAAATCCTGTTTTTCGGAGACTGAGCCAAGATCTCCAACTGCTTGTAGGAAGCATAAGGTGAAAGAATGAAATAAGAAACAGAAAAATTTAGCAATACATGAAATGGGGGCTGGGAGGTCAGTGCCTCAGGGTTACCAGAGACAAAGACCCTGGAAGCCTTCCACTGCACTGTCTGAAGGCAACTTCAGCATCTTCCCCCAACTCATGGCTTCTTTCCATTCTGTCTCACTGAGCATCACTGACTCCAGGCCTGGGCTTCACTCTGGACTCCGCCCTTTTCCAGCCATCCTCTCCCTGTCCTCCTGTTTTCTGCTACCTGCACCTGGTCCTGGCCATGTCTGAGAAGACTCTTGTGGTATCTGTCTACGAAATGTCATGCTTTGTGTTTTCTGTGTCTCTTCAACACCACACTGCATGTCACATGCTCTTAGTGCTATGTGGCAGGCTCCAGGGTCACACGCCATACATGTCATGTGGTAAGATAAGCCCAGGGGACCCTGCTCACTGATTCCATGCTCAGCTCCTACCTTCCTCTTGCTCTTTTCTTCTTTCGAGTAACAGATGCCCCTGGCCCAGTATTTAGCTCAACACACGACCTTTCGGGGCAAACTCTCCTTTTCCAAATCTCTTGCAGGGCTGGGGAGATAGCTCAGTGGAATAAGTGCTTGCCTGGTAAGCGCAAGGGCCTGAGTTCAATTCCTGGTACCACCACAAAAAAAAAAAAAAATCCCTTGCAGATATTTGGGGCAATGTGCCAAGTTCCAGCCAATGGATACAAGCAGAAGTGACAGGGCCATGTCTAGGTTGTCCCTTAAGAGCAGAGGTGCCCTCCTCTGTTTCTTCTTCTCTTTCAGCACCCAGAAGAAAGAGGCAATGGTGAACCCTCCTGGATCAGGTGTGGGAAAGGCGATGGTTCACAGACGGCAGAACCTGGGCTTCTGACCCTGACCTCCTGACAAATAGAGGGCTGAATGAAGATGAAAGAAACTTCTAGTTTGTTTGGACTATGGAGTTCTTGGGTCTTTGGTCCAAGCAGTTGAACTCATATCCTTATGAACTCCCAGTTACCTTAATTCACAGACTGCACGCCACCCACTCACACACGGCTCCCCACCCCCCTGCTCGGGCCCAGGAGCCCTTACGGATGACATCATCTCCGAACTGGTGCTGGGCGATGTGCTGGAAGAGGGTGGTAAGGACGGGCAGCAGGGCCACTGTGGTGTAGGTGAGGTTCTGGCCCACGCCTTTCACCTGCGTGCGCGCCTGGGACACCTTGCCTAGCCGCAGGTTCTCCACCATCTTCTCGATGTCCTCCGAGGCGCTCTCGAAGAAGGAGCGGAGGCCGGCCTTCACGATCTCGGGGCCTGACTTCATCACCGTCCTGGGAGGGAAACAGGGAGACACCCAAGTGGAGAGGCTCGGTTTGGGGGAATCTAGAAGGGATGGGGCTGGGCAGAAGCCATGATTGGAGTTTAGTAGTCCTACCTAGCATCCAAGGAGCGTGCCAAGATGTGGAGACAGTTGACCACAGCAGGGGCATCAGTCCCTGGGAGAAGGAGATGAGCTGGGGTGAAGAAGGGCCACAGAACAGCCCCTGCTACTCTGTCCCCACCCCCTGGCTAGATCAGCAGCATGAATGTCCCCACACCTGCTGCACACCCCAGTCCTGACCACTCTGTGTCCTCCCTCCATCCCAGCTCAGATCTGTCTGGAGACAGTAGCCTAGAAGCCTCAGGAGGGCAGACTCAGGGTTAACTCAGTTCCTGCCTTGTCCCCAGGGCCACCCAGTTCATGGCCAGATCTCGAGAAAGAACACAAGGAAAGCTATTCAAATTAAGGCTTCAACTGGGAAATCTTTCCTCTTGCTGGGGTTGGAGACAAGGAAGACAGAGGTGAGGCAGAGGCTCAGAAGCAGGGCTACTTACCAAAGAGAGAGACTCGGTGGCGGACAAGAGCAGCGAGTTTGCAGAAGAGACTGAAGAGAGAAAGGGAGAGGATGTAGAAGGGGGAGATGAGGGCAGTGGTGACATAGAGGAGTTGGAGCAAAAGGACAAGGAGAGAGAACAGACGACAGAGCCAGGAGGAGGAAGGATGAGGAAGAGGGGGGTAGAGAGAAGAGCAGGCTGGAAAGTCACAGGCTGTAACTGGCACGTGGGGTGTGAAGGCTGTGCCTGACTTCTGGGTGGGTGACCAATTTGTCCCAGTTTACTTGAGGGCCCTGCATTCTGGGAAACTCTTCGGTCCCAGGTGAACCAGGACAGTTGGTCACCCTATCGCTCCCATCACCTCTGGAGGTGGAGGAGAGAGCCTGTAAGGCCAAGGTTGGGAGTAAGGGGCCCTGTGTGGTCAGCGGGCTGGGTCTAGGTCACAGGTGACCTACCTGGTGATCATTTCCTTCTCCTTGTTGGAGGCGTGGCCACCACTGCCCAGCACTTTGGCGGGTGTGGACAAGAAATAGAGGCAGTGGTTGGTGAAGTACTGGTTGATCAAAGGGAGCAGGATCTGGAGAAGGGGGAGGAGATGGGGGGGTTAACTGAGGGGTGGAGGGACCCCATCAGGTCCTCAGTCCCAGCTTCTGAGCCCATCTCTTACCTTGGCAAAGAACTTAATCTCCTGTTCATGTGGGGATTTTTCCACACGTCCACTGCTGACCACAGCCTCTGTGGGGGAGGCCAGACAGAGGTCGTGGTGAGTTCAAGACTGGGAAAGCCAACATGTTCTGATGGGAGAGACTCTGATGGCAGAGTTAAGAAATGATGGGTGCCAATTTGGGAGTGGTGGCACACGCCTGTAATCCCAGCACTAGGGAGGCTGAGGCAGGAGGATCACTATGAGTTCAAGGACAACATGGGCAACATAGTGAGCTCAAGGCCAGCCTGAACTACACAATGAGACCCTGTCTCAAAAAAATAAATAAATAGGGGCTGGGGAGATAGCTCAGTAGAATAAGTGCTTGCCTGGCAAGCATAGGGTCCAATCCCCAGTACTGCAAAGATAAATAAATAAATAAATAAATAAAATTAAAATAAGAGAAATGACGGGAGATAAAAACTTGCATAAAGTCATCTTTACTGGATTTCAGGTAAACCTTTCCCCACTACTTTTCATCTGCTCTTCCTAATCTCTTGGTCAAACCCTTCCTAAAGCTTAAAATGGGGAGAACAAACTGGACTGGTAGTGTGGCCGGAGATTATCCATCCCCTTCCTATCCCTTTCACAGCACTTTTGTTCCTGAACTTCATTATCTGGTACTGAGTGAAGTAAGTGGAAAAATGATGTAGACATTGATTTAAAAATGAAAATCAATTTCAGCTGTTGATGGTGGTGCACACTGATAACCCCAGCACTCTGAGACAGACAGGACTGCAAGTTGCAGCCCAATCTGGGAAACTAGCAAGTTAGTAGGACCCTGTCTCAAAATTTTAAAAGGGCTGGGGATGTAGTTCAGTGTGAAGGCCCTGGCTTCAATCCTCGGTACCAAACCAAAAGAGGGGGGAAAAATCAATTTCAAACAATACTAGTGATAGTAATGAAGTTATTAATATAATACTGGCTCCAATCATTAAACACTTCACATGTCCCTGGCATGGTCGCCCCTATGATCTCCTAACTTGGAGGTCTGCACAGTTAGTACCTCACCCCTGTTTTCCAGATGAGGGAACAGATGAAGTAATCACTCCAGGTCACACAGCCAGGAAGTGACAGAATGGTGGAAGTTATAATGAACATTACCCCATATGGCTGAAAAGGAAACAGGTCTTCGAAGGTGAGAGCGGAGGGGAGGCTCAGCTGCAGGCTGAACTGAGAGTGAAACTCACCTTGCCTCTCACTGGGGGGATGGGCAGGCAGGGGTTCTGGGGGTGGCTCTTAAAGGGAATGCTGGGGGGCCCTAGCTGAGATTCTCGGTGACATGTAAGAGACATCTGGGGGACATTCCAACAGCCTCAGCCTTCAAAACAGCCAGAATCTGCCCAGGTCTCATTTCTGCTCCTGCCTAAGAGGTGCTGTGGGACACCTGCGTCATTTCCTTCTGCTCAGACCCTTCCTGTGGCTCCATCTCACTCCCGGTAAAGGACAAAGCTTACATCGTGGTCTGCAAAACCCTATCTGCCCCCAGCACCCTTTTGACCCCATATCCTCTCACTGTCCCCGCAGTCACTCTGTGTCACTCGCATGGGCATGCTAATAATCCAACCAGAGCCCCCTCACGGCCTCTGCGCTGCTCCTTTGTCTGAAGGAACAGATGTTTCCCAGATGTGTACCTGACCCCACCCCCACCCCTTCACACCCTGGCTCAGATGTCACATTCTCCTTCAAGTCTTCCTTGAATTTTCCGTATTTAAATTTACAGCCAGTTGCACACTCCCAGCCCCCCTACCCGGCTCTATTGATTTCTGCTTCCTGTAACTCTAACCACCTCCTGACATCCTAAACGGTTCAGTTATTTATGGCGTTAAATGTCTGACTCCATTACAGGAAGGCAGATGCAGGAAGGCAGGATCTTTTGCTATTTGTCCCTGTAAATCCACCATCAATGACAATGCCTGGCACACGGTAGATGCTTCTTAGATGATGCAAAGAGGGAGAAATAACGAACTGGTCTCCTATGTGAGTCCGTAGGTGAAGTGGAAACTGGGGAGGAATTCTTCCTACCGAGATGGGCAATGAACTCCTGGGAAATGTCCATCCAGCGCAGCAGCTGCTGCAGGAAGCCAAAGGCAAACCGCTTCTCGATGGAAGACGTGTCCAGTTCCATGTCTTTAAGCCCTCTGCGAGCATAGGCAGAAAGAGGTTAGCTCAGATGTGGGGCCTGCCCAGTCCTCTGCTGACCTCTGCCTTCTCCTAGGTCCTTATTCAGCCTTTCTGACCCCGCCTCTCCCCAGACCACGCCCATCTACCATTACCATCCCTGTACATTCCGCTCTTCCCAAGCCACGCCCCTCACGGTTTCACCCCTCCACTCTGGCCCCGCCTCTTCCCGCTTTTGCCTGCGGCTTCCCGCAGCCCTCCCGCCGGGCCGGGCTCCCGTGCCTGGTGACCGCATAGCCGTTCATCTGGAGGAACTTGAGCAGCTCTTGGGCCTTCTCCCTATCTCGTGCCTTTTCCTTGGCCGTGAGCGTGTCGTACGGGACCAGCAGGGGATGAGACCCACCGCCTGGATTGGCAAAGACCAGAAATCAGGGGCGGGGGTGGTGTGGGGAAGAGAAGCCCAGGCCCTTCTGAGAAGAGAGTGTGCACAGCGCCAATGATAAAAATCGAGATAATAATAACCACGGAAGCACTGCTTTCTAACTCGCTCACCACAACCCTAGAGGGGCAAACAATTATTAAATGGAGGGGGTGCAGTTAGTTGTTTAAAGTCACCGCATGAAGCCAAGATTCTTTCCCTGCCCCTCAGGGCCTAGGAGCCCAGGACTGGAGCGGAGGAGCACAAGGGGGTGTGGGGGCCCTCACCCTTGGCCTCCAGCTCTTGCTTCTTCTTCCGCCCCCATGTGTTGTGGTAGTTTTCTGCCAGTTGTTCTGCCATGGCCTGGAGTGGATGCAAAGTCAAGGACCAGATTCAGAGGACCCCCCTCCACTCACAGGCGCCCCTATTGAACCCCAAAGAAAGATCAGAGGTCTCGCCTGAAGCTCCCGGGACAGGGTAACTCCGCTGAGGTCAGGCGGCTGGGGGTTATAGCCTTCTCGAGGATCGTAGGTCTGAATGGGCAAGAGGGAGATGGGGGTCACATGGGCTGGCAGGAAGCCCAGCGTAGTCTCTTCCTCTGCTCCTAGCCCACTTCCTCTGTGTCCCCTACTGTCTGAACTCCTTCCCTCAACAGCCATTCCTGCCTCAGCCCCCTGACAACTAGGATCCCAGGTATACATTCCCGATTGCCCTCCTGTCCCTAAGCCACCCCCTCCTCTCCTGTGCCATTTTAGTCTTCAGATCGCTGCAGTCTCCTTTGCCAGGCTCCCCAGACTTCGATGAATCTCTCTGGCCTTATCCCATCTTCTGACCCCCACCTCCCCGCCTTGAGCCTTGTCCCCTTTCAACCCTAGCCCAACCCTTACACAACCCTCTTAGCCTCACCTGGGCAGTCTGGGATATCTTCCGTGTCTTCTTCTTCTCGGTCTTCTCCTCTTCACCCTCCCTGGCCTTCTCTACAGTCCATTCCCAAGCAATCATGGCCTTCAAGGACTCCTTGATGGGCCAGCGGTAAATCTCCTTGTCCTGAAGTGGACAAGAGGAAGCGGAGTTGGTGGAATGGGGCAAGAGGGAAGTAGAGGAAGGAGCTCTTGGTGCAGGCCCCCTGTCTCCAGAGTCCCAAGAAAGGAAAATCCTTAACTATGCGGCTAGGAAGAGGTTCAGTCCAGATTCAAACCCAGGTCTCTCGCCTGCTCTATAACTGAGTATTCCAAACACAATCTCATCTTTCATGAATCTCACAGTCTTATGCTCAAATTCACCCTCTGATTCCTCCTGAAAGAAGGAACATTAGGAACCTGGGATCCCCCAGGGGAAGCAAGCCAGTTGGAGAGAAGGCAAACTCTGTGGATGGGGAGCCCCAACCACTGATCCACCTAGACACAAACCTCTGAAGCTTCCTCACTCTTCCCTGAGCTCCCAAAATTGGGGGTTTTGTTTTGATTCCCAGTGTAGTCCCCAAGGCTTGGTCACCTTCTCTGAAAAGGTCTTGTAGGGTCTCAGCATGGGGTGAGTCTTCAGTTCCTCATCTATGTTCTCTCCATAGGACCAGTTGTTCTGGATCTAGGGGTGGGTGGGAGGCAGCAGTGAAGAAGAACCCTGGAGGCACTGAGGGTTCCAAGGAAACCTGGGGATTCCAGGAAGTGGTGTGGCTCAGGGAAGGCTGGGTCTGGGGAACAGGTTGGGTCCTGAGGAAGGCTGGCAGGGCTGGGGACTTCTGGAACAGGGACCCCAATGCCAACCTTGTCAAAGGCCCACTTCTCGTGCGTATACTCTGCAAACTTGTTAATGAAGGAGTCAAGCTTCTCTGGGATGATCACACTATGGGAGGGGATGGGGCCAGTAGATGTTGAGACTGGGTCTCCTACCACCTCCAAGACCCTCTTGTCCACCCCAAACCCCACCTTCTCCCACCCTCTAGTCTCACTTGAGGGTCTCCACAGGTCGGGGGTCAAAGTTGCCTTCAGCATCCACTGTGGCCTTCTTCTCTGCCTTGGAAGAGTACGAAGCATCCACGTAGTCGGGAGGCAGGGCCCCCGCGATGGCGCACAGGCAGGGCATGGCCATGCGGTACAGCTCCTGGTCGTATTTCTGGGGATACCAAGGGCAGGGGTGTGGGGGCCACATCAGGTCTTGTTGAGCCTTTCAACCCTGGAGGGTGAAGACCTCTAACACACCAATCCTCCTCCTGACCCTCAAATATGAATTATGGTTCTCCCTGAAAGAAAACCTCAGGCTCAACTAGACCCCAAATCATCTCCATATTACCCATCCCTGAGTCCTCAAACTACAGGCCCGTGCAAAGTTGCTTCTTTCATGGAACCCCTCAAGTTTGGGAATTTCATGAGTCCCTATGATCTTCTACATAGGCCTTTTTGGGGTTCCCTTGGTGGCCAGACCTTATGTGCCAGAGAGTCAAAGATGCCCCAAAAGAGCTTGCGCGTGAGGTGTAGCTCTTCTTCTGAGGTGACCCCAAAGTTGGCCCAGCCTGTGGGGAGGCAGTAGTACTTCCAGCAGCGCTCATAGTGGTTGGTGAGGAGCTGGGTGGGAGCAAGAAGGGACACACAGGAGGGACCATAAGCAGATGAAGGCAGTGCTGTGGTTATGAAGGTTTGGACTATGCAAATCATATGCTAATAAGGGAAAGGATGATATATTTACTGGAGAGCGGCCCTGGACAGTGTGTTAGGCAAAGTTAGTGTTCTCATTTTAGAGCCAGGATGGGCATTAAACTAGAGCTGGATTTGTCTGTCATTTTACAGAAATAAACATGCTAATAATCCACAAGCAGGGTGGAGTGCACATGGGCATATGGATAGAGTGATCTATGCTTATGCAAATTAGCATGCCAAATAGAAACACAGGCAACAAACCATGTAAATATATGATAATTGAGACGAGGGCCCCTGCTATCCAATATGCAGACTCAAAGTAGGGGCTAATTTAGACATATGCAAAATAGCCAACATATCTGAGTTGGGGGTATCTCCCTATGCAAACCAGCATGCAAATGAAAAAACAGAAGAGACAGTGTGCAAATATTCAGAATAGCTGTGGTGCTGTTTATTCAAATAAACGCACTGATTTGAATAGTGGAAGGCTGGTGGTCTGGGCATGCGAATAAAATGCTAATTACAGAAAGTGCTATGTCCCATACAAATATATGCTAATTGAGGCGGGGGCTGGCTCATTTGGTTAAGCAAATTAAGAGCTAATTAAGGAATGTTAGAGGCACCAGTGGAGCAAAGTGAATGTCCTGGGAGTCCTGGCATGCAAATGAGGATGCTAATTGGTTTCTGTGAGGACACGCCCCCCAGCTGATTAGCTGGAGTGCACAGCGCTCATACCGCTGAGCCTCCCAGCCCAGGGCAGAGCAGGGCAGTGGAGGGCGCATGCGAGTGAGCCTTGCCCTCACCTTCAGGGGCATCTTGGCGAACTCGTTCAGGATGGGCACGTCGAACACCAGACGCCGCAACAGGTGCTGCAGCATGGATGGGCGGATGTACCTGCACGGATGTGCACAGGGGGTGGATCTCACCCAGAGACCCGCCCATCCGGCGACCCTGCCCAATGTAACCCCGCCCCATCGGTCTCGCCCACTAGGGGCCCCGCCCACCTGCACAGCGCCATGAGGCAGTCCTCGATGACGTCGCGCTGCGCCTTAGTGAGCGACCGGCCGCGGGACAGGCGATAAACGGTGTGGAGCATGGAGTCCACCATGATGGCGCGATGCTCGGTTCCCGCGAAGAGTGGCGCACACTTCGTGATGAGCGGCAGCACCGCCAGGCACAGGTAGCGGTTTAGCGCCAGCGCCATCTCCGTAGTGCTGAAAGTAGCCTGGGACACAGGATGGGGACATCAAGCCCACTGCTTACCCCTGGGGCTGCCCTGACGCTCATCCTGCACAACTCTAGGCAAAGAACTAAGGTTCTGATCATTCCCCCAAATCCTGCACCTTTCCCATCTCTACTCTGTTTCCTTTATTACTTTTTTTTGTCTGGGGTGTACCAGAAATGGAACTCAGGACCTCGCGCTTGTCAGGCAGGCACTGCGCTGTTGAGCTAGATCCCCATCCCCTTCCTTTATTACTTTGTTTTTTTATTTTTATTTTTATTTTTTTCGGAACCGGGGATTGAACTCAGGCACTTGTGCTTGCCTGGGAAGCACTCATTCCACTGAGCCATCTCCCCGGCCCTCCTTTATTACTTTGGACTCTACGAAATTTCAAACAGGCACACAAGTCAGAAACTGATTAATGAGCCCGTTACCCCAGATATGGCTGTTCTACAGAAATAGACGTTCTGCCTGCCTGTTTCTTCTCCAACCCTCACCTTTTTTCCTGTAGGTCCTTGTTTGTTTGATTTCTTTTTGAGACAGGATCTCACTTTGTCCTATCGGCTGGCCTCGAAGTTTCCTGTAGTATTTTCATGCATGCCCCTTCTACATACAAACACTTAACTATGTCTCTCCATTCCAACAAGCTCTTCTGTTCGACAGCCCTTGTGGCCATCATCATGTGACAGTGCTAATCTCTTCATTTCCATGATCAACTTTCTTCAAATGTCTCAAACATTGCTATTTTTTTGGGAGTGTTTGGATCGGGTCCTTAGGAGGATCCACGCTGCTCTTGGCCAACAGGTATTTTAGGTCTTTTAAATGCTATGTGTTTGCTGGAGGAGCTGGGCCATTTGTCCAGTGGACTATTCTACATTTTGGCCTTGATTCAATCCCTCCTCGTGGTGTCAGCTTGTTCCCTGCACTCTGTATTTCCCACAAATGGATTATAGGTTCAAGTTCCAGCGTTTCTTTCCCAGCTCGCCCCTCCAGCGGTCATCCTGTCCTGTCCCTCCCCAGCCAGCAACTTGTATGGAAATGTCAGTGTTCCTTGCTGTCTCCAGCCCAGCCTCCAAGTTCTCTTGCACCCTCGCCACCTTGATAAAGCCACTTGTCAAGGTCGCCATCATCTCCATGTTGCTCAATCAATGGTCACTTCTCGTGATCATCTTCTCTGGTCTCGTCACTTTCTGTTACTACTTGAGTAACAGTTCTTTGGTGGTTCATGCCGCTGCCATCACTGAGAATGACTGGAGATGGAGGTGCAGTTCTAGGGACTGAACCCATGGCCTTTACACTGAGCTACATCCTGGCCCTTTTCTTAGTTTTCATTTTGAAAGTGTTTCACTAAGTTGCCCAGGCTGGGCTTGAACTTGCGATCATCCTGCCTTAGCTTCCTCCGGTGCTGGGATTACACACATGTGCCATCATGCCTGGCTAGAATGATTGTTTCTATAATTGGAAGTTGGAGATTCCTACCTACCCTCTGTCAGCACACAAGTCCTTTCTATTTGGATTATTTCCTCCTAACCTGAGGGTGCTGGTGGTGGGATTTGGTGGTGGGTTTATGCTCTGGATACAATCCCAGGGCAAATACAAGTACTGCTGTTGCTTTCTCAGGCCCTATATTGTGCATCCCGGGAGAGGACCACAAGATGGGCCACCTTTGAAGGCAGGAAGCGTGGCCAGGGCAGCAGGGCTGCTCACCGTGTCTAGCGAGGCTGCTGCCCTCATGTCAGGCAGGAAGCCCACGTCCAGCACGTGTAACAGGAAGTCCTGGTTTTCAATGCCATAGACACGGTCCAGGAAGAGCACCATGGATGCCTTGTGGTCCGGCACGAAAGAGGCCGACATTTTTGGCTGTATCAGGGCCCCATCTACAGGCAAGAAGGACGCAGGTCAGGGATGTGCTTGGAACCCTACCCAGCATCGCTCTCTTGTCAAGTCAGACTAGCTCATACCTTTGCCCAGGGTGGGGATCTGCAGCGGGAGGCTGATGATGCCCACGAGGTCATCCAAGGGCACGAGGGATCGGAGGATAGCCCGGATCCGAAGGGCCTCACCCTTGCCGGCTTGGATTAGCTGGGGGTGGCAGTTGGGGATGGGCCAGATGTCATCGGACACCTGTGCCCCATTTGGAGTTTGCTCCATCCCATCCCTTCCTGACTCTCTGGTACACAGAGCAGGCCTCCTTCCTAAGAGAATAACTCTAGAGTTCTAGTCCTGATCCCTCTGCCCACGCCTCTTCCATCCCACCCTCACCACTCCGGGCTGTCACTGTCTGCCTCGCACACTGGACTGGGAGCTGCATGAAATCAGCACCATGTCACTACCTAGCCTAGCTGGGGCCCACATGGTGAGGGCCAACCAATGTCACCCAATACCCACATGGAGAGGTCAAGGCTGGTGGCCTATGCCCTCCCTCCTGCTCCACTTTAGGCTTCCCCATCTCACATGCATCTCTGGAGCACAGCGTCCCAACAGGTCGATCAAGGCTGCATAGAAGGACATGATGGCATGTCCCAAGTGCACCCGGCTTTCCTCGGGGGCCTCCTCACCAAAGCTGCAGGGGAGCAGGATGTTGTGGGGAGGCAGCCAGGGGCATGGGGAGGGCAGGATACATTACTGGGTAGGAGCCAGGGGACTTACTGCTCACGCCGCCGGTCCCTACGGACACCTGGACCATCCCGTGCAGGGTCCTCAGAGATGCGGATGGCCTCTTCGATGGCAGCCAGCAGCCCTGAGCCTCCTTCACCCCGCAGGGCTGGTCCGAAGCACTCGGGCTTGCGGATGAGCAGCCGTACTACCACATTGGCATTTTCCTCGACGCTCTCGCCTGGCCACCCCAGAAGGTTGAGGTCTCATGAGCCTGGGGATGCCATGCCACCAGAGCACCAAACACTTCCAGGGGCAAGGCCAAGTCCCTGTTGGCCCCAGCCCCCTGCCTCAGCCGCACTTGAGGGGATCCCTGACTTAGGCAGACCTGAGGCTCACAGTGTACATGGTCATGCTCAAGGAGGGTTTGGACAGTGACCCCACATATCCTACCCTGCCACCACCATGCCCTGCCTCACCATTGACGAAGACAGCAAAGCGCAGGAAATCCAGGTAGCGCTCACCACCGCAGGGGTTCCAGCCAATATCAGGGTACCCTTTGGCTAGCAGCATGGGGCAGCTTTGGAGGCCACAGCCTGCTAGGTAGGACACAACCTGGGGACAGCAGGGGTCTTAGCCAGAGGCTAGACCCACACAGCCCTCCTCTCCAATCTCAGGCCTCTGTTCATCCCTGAGCTCCTCAGCCCCATTCATCTCTGAACCCTTCAGCAAATAACCCGTCCTACCCACACTCACCCCTACAGGGGCCATGGCAGCAGACACTTCCCTAGGACCCCTGCTGCCCTTGGTCTGTTCCACACCCACCTGTGAACACCTGAGTCAGGTCACACCCTCTGCTCAAAGGTTGGCTCTCAGGACAAAAGTCAGAGTCCCCAAAGTGGCCTGTAAGATCCCACACGACCACTTCTCGGCCCTCTCTGGCCAATTATCTCACTCTGTGCTTCAACTGCCTTGGTCTCTGCTCAAACTCCCGAGGCCAGCTCCTGCTTCCGGACCTTTGCGTGGCTGTTCCTTCCACCTGGAATGCCCCTCCCCTAGTCTCTATCCAGCCCTCACCTCCTGAGCTTTCCTCACTGTCACTTTCTCACTGGAGCTTTCTCTGACCACTCTTGTCTAACTCAGACACTCTCCTAACATTTGATATTTTCCTCCTTTTCCACTTCTTTTCCTCAATATCTGTCACTAGCAAACAGGAAGTATGTTATTCATTCATCTTATTATTCAATCTTCAAATGAGAATGTCAACTACTTGAGGACTAGGTGTTTTGACTGTCATACCTCTACTGCCTTGGACAAATCCTGACATATAGTGTGTGTGTGTGACAAACATTTGTTGAGCGAATAGTTATATGATAGCAGCTAGCTGTTGTTGAGCAACAACTGCATGAAGCTGTTTCTATGACTGTTCATTGTGGAGCTGAGATTATGGAGGAATGGAGAAGCTGTTGCTCACCCAAGGCCACACAGCAAGGAAGCTGCCTCAAAGGTGCTGGAACTCCAGCGCCACACATGTGCTTGCTGTACACAGAAGCCATGGCAGAGGGGACCACCCAGCCAGGAGGGTAGGGCATGGATGCACCCATCCTGTAGTGCCCCATGATCGAGCCCCTGGACATTGTTATCTCCCTGCAAATTATTCCCCTCTGGTTTAGCTGTGGACTGTCCCGAATGTCCTTCCCCTACCCCCGCCCTAGGAGGAGCTCAGAGTCAGCAGGTGTCCCAGAAGCTAGGCAGGGCCAGGCCTCTCTCTCCACACCTTCTCCAGGTCCTGCTCCTGTAGCGCCAAGGCCAGCTCATTGTTGTCGATGACGGAGGCAGCGGCCACATCCAGGGGCGTGGAGCCCTGCATGCCTGTGGCGGGAGGAGAGGGTGAAGATGCTCTTCCGAGGTGTGCAGCTGGCAGTCTCACTCCTGACTGTGGGCCCTCAGGAAACCCTCTCCACCCGTACCCCCCATCCCTTTTCCTTCCTGTCTGGTCTATGCTTCCTCCACCCCAGTTCTGACCAGTGTGGGCTGTCACTATCTGAAACTGAATCGTCTTCTTCTTTGCTGCACTGTGAGCCCAGTGAGAGCCGGGTGGGGCCGTCTGGCTCAGTACTGTGTCCCAGTGCAACTCATTACACTCTGATGGCTGAGACTGAGCATTTGTTGGATGGCAGAATGAGTGAGTGAGCTGGCGGCATGCGCAGGCAGGAGCGGGCTCCGGGAGCAGCGCCCAGCTCAGGCTTTCTCACCCAGGCCGATGCCACTGTTTTCCAGTAGGTAGCTCAGGTGGTCAAACATGGAGCGCTGGTTCTGCCGGCTGATCCGGCAGAAGTAGCAGAGGAAGCGGCAGCAGCTCGTCACCATCTTGGGGAAGCGGATCTCCTGGGGTGGCAGGGTGGGCTGGTGGTCAGTGTCTGCCCTCTGAAGCCCCTTGCCCTAATCCCCCAGCCCAGCCAGTAGCCTCACCTTGGATTCGCCGCCCCCAAGGACATTCACCATGACCTCCATGACTGTCTCGTGCATGCCCAGCGCCCTCATTAGGTTCGGGTGCTGGTAGAAGACTTTGTTGTTCATGATGTTCCTGTGGACAGAGAATGTGTAGGGGGTCACCACAGGTGGGGTCGCTCACACTATTGCCATTGTCACCATCATGAGAACAACATTTATTTACTTCTTTTTTTAATTCTTTTTTTCCCCCCTGAAGTACTTAGGGTTGAACTCAGGGCTTTTGGGCCCCTTTTTATTTTTTAGTTTTGAGACAGATTTTCAATAAGTTGCCCAGGATAGGATCAAACTTCTGATCCTCCTGCCTCAGCCTCCCAGAGTGCTGGGATCAGCCAGGCACGCACCATCATGCCTCACTTGACCTCTTAGCCTGCACCCTGCACCTTCCCTTTTATAGACCTGACTGCACCATCCTTTCATCCACTTTGGGAAGCAGGAACTCTGATTGGCACTATTTTCACAGGTAAAGAAACTGAGGCTCAACCCAAAGCAAACTCCCCTAGGACAGATCTCTGTCACATTGCCAAGTCTTTCCCCATATGCTCACAGAGGCCTGGCACACAGAAGGTGGTTAATAAGTGTCCGCTGAGTGAATGAAAGAGACACACTGGACATCTAAGTGCTCAGTACCACGATGAGTTGATGAGCATTTTCTTAGGTTATTTTTTTTTCCCATTCATTCTTGTTTTCTTAGAATGTTTTGTTTTGTTGAGACAGGATCTCACTATAGCTCAGGCTGGCCTTAAACACGAGCTCTTCCTGCCTGTTTCCTGAGTGCCAGGGGATCACAATGATGTGACGATGTGCTGCGCTTATTGAAGCCGCGCCACCATTCTGTGCGGTAAGCATGGAGCGTCCCTGTTTACACATGAGGATATAGAAGCTCTGAATGGGAAACCTTGCGCGTGTCACATGTAAGGAGCTGTTTGCCAGGGGCACATGGAGCAGGAAGGAAGGGGCACTCTAGGAAGGAGCAAAGAGGATAGGAAGGACAGGGACCTCCCAGGACCTCTAGGAGGGTTTATCACTTATGTGTCCTGCTGTATCCTAATGAGTCAGATGTTGGGGGGAGGGGATGTTTTCACATCCAGAGGATAACACAGAGGGCCCCGTGTAGGCTTGCCTGCCTCCAAGGCACATGCCCCACCAAGGAGGGGGCCTCACCCGATGCTCTGGATCATGAGGTTCTCCTCTTGGGGGCCCATCTGCACAATGAGCAGCGAGCGGATCTGGCCCAGGCACTCGAGCAGGCTCATGGTGTCCCCCACAGAGGACAGTGAGATGGTGTATGCCCGCGGCAGGGCACGCAGCAGCTCGCCGAGCCCATCATACTGCCGGTGCAGGAGGCTGAACATAGCCCGAACCAGCTCGGGGCTCTGCACGAAGTCTTCCTGGGCCCAGCGGACCACCATATGGGACACCAGCTCCTGCAGGGACTCTGGAAAAGGGACACAAGGCTCAGAGCACAGTGCCAGAATGACACAGGAGAGGCCCCTCTTCTCATGGGCCTCTCAGTTACCAACCACTCCCATTCTCCTCCTGCCAAGGGCTCTTGGATTCTGGCAGTTTCCTCTGTCACCCTGTTCCCATGGCCCTCTGCAACCTGGCTGTTACTTCCCTGCCTTAACTCTCACTACTTGCCCGCTGGACCACTCTGCTCCAGCATGCTGGCCTCGGAGCCTTGGCACTGTCTCTTCCTTTCATAACACCCATTCTTTCTCAGATCTTTGCACAGTTTGGTCCCTCCTTCTGACCCTTCTGTCCTTATCCCTCTCCCATCTCTCAGATTTTCTTTTCCCTCTTAGCACTAATGCCTACCTGACATTTGTGAATCCATATATGCATTTGATACAATATTCTTTCTGTTTGCTTGAGAAAGGGTCTTGCCATGTAGCCCAGGATGTCTCAGTGGTGAGAGCCTTTTGCCTCAGCCTAGTGACTGCTAGGATTTCAGGAATACACCACCATACCTGGCTTGAATTTGGTGTAATATGCTAAGCTCATAGAGCGCAAGGGCTTTCACTTTCCCATGTTTTTTTTTTTTTTTTTTTTTTTTTTTTTTTTTTTTTTTTTTTCTTCAGCCCTGTGAACAGTGCCTGACCCAGAACTGGCCCAATACATGATCTTGAATGTTACAGGATAAAACCTATACCAACACCAGGGACTCTGTCCTTATGATAGGTGGCTAATACAGTACATTTGCACAGTGACACCTTGGTCAACACTTATCATAACTGCTTTTGTACCCTTCAACATGGTAACAGTCTCATCATAAGAGAAAAGAAAAACAAAAGCTGAGGGTCTGAGGCCACAGTGGTAGGGGAGCTGCCACCATGCTGGGTTGGATGTATGTCCCAGCCCTGGTCCGTGCCAGGGCTGCAGCCCCAAAATTGGGGCCATGCCTCCAGTGGGTCTCTCCTCCCAAGCTCTTTTCCTCTCCCTCCTGCCTCTCTATCCACCCTTCTATTTCTCCTCAAGACCTCTGTGGGAGAGCTATGGTCCTCAGAGCCACTTGTCACTTCTTTTCCTGTCCCCACTGTCCTCAGTCCTCACGGGGTTTGGGCTCCTCTGCAGGTGGCTCCTCCTCTGGCTTCTCCTCCTTCTTCTTCACCAGCCGCACCTTCTCCAGCAGGCTCATCAGGCGGCTTCCCAGAGTGGTCTCCTCCTCTGGCTCCTCCTCTTCCCCCTCCAGCTGAATGCCTGGCAGTCAGGAAGGAAAGAAATTAGTGTTTGCACATTCACCTGCTCAGTCACGTACTTCATTCATTCCTCATTTATACACATGCTCATGAAATTTTCTTTTTCTTTCTTTTTTTTTTTTGTGTGTGTTTTGTTTGTTTGTTTATTTAAAACAGGGTCTCACTCCATAGTCCAGGCTGGCTTCAAGCTTGCAATGATCCCCCTGCCTCAGCCCCCCAACTGCTAGGATTAAGGTGTGCACCACCATACCTGGCTCTCTTTTGTTTTTTTGAGACAGGATCTCGCTGTGTAGTTCAGGCTCATTTTGAACTCATTACTGTATGGCCCAGGCTGACTTCAAGCTCACAGTGATCCTCCGCGCACCCCCATATTTCTTTATATGTTTACATTTTTGTTCATCTATTTTTTTCTGTGAAACATTTGCTTTGAACATATTTGCTGCTGCAAATAAGTTCAAAGAACTAAAACAAAAATATCTGAAGTATTTTTTTTTAAAAAAACTATGATGGAAGTGAAACATCCTGTAAAGAATATTAATAAAGTAAATAATGTGTTTAAAGAATCGGGTCGAATAACTGCACGAGTATGCTTCTATTAATTTTTAACTTTAAAAAAGGAAAATACAACAACCAAAATAAAAAATCATGAGAGAGGTTTGATAGCATATTTGAGATGGTAGAAAAGTACTGAACTTGAAGCTAGGATGTAGAGGTTCTCCAGTCGGAAGAAGTGAAAGATAAAAGAATGATGAAGGACAGCCGCAGAGCCCTAAAGGGTATCATCGAGCACCCAGGACCTTCAGAATGAGTTCCAGAAGGACAGGAGAGAAGGGGTCAAAAATATTCAAATATTCAAACATTTGTCCAACATTTTCTAGCCTTGATGGGGGGGATGTGCATATATATTTAGTGCAGGGTCTACACAGATCGGACTTGTAGTCATTCTCCTGTTTCCAGCTTCCCAAATGCTGGGATTACAGGTGCTCACCACCACACCCAATCTCAATAGCTTTCTCAGCATGCCCCAGGGGTGGGGCTGGCATGGCAGGCAGGGGATCAAACCACCTTGATGAGAATATTGAAGTTCATATTTAAGAATCTCAAACTCCAAACAGGATAAACTTAAAGCGATCCATACTTAGATACCTCTTACCCAAACAATTGAAGGTGAAGATAAAGAAAGTATTGAGGGGCTGGAGAGATGGCTCAGTGGTCTAAAGCACCTACTTGGAACAAGCTTGGCAAAGCACAGGGACCACGGTTCAATCCCCCAGCACCACATGCCAGCCAGCCCCGCCCCCTGGTGGGCTGAGCTGGCCACACACACACACACACACACACACACACGGAATAAATAAATAATTAATTAAAAAAAAAAAAGAAAGAAAGTATTGAAAGTCAGCCAGAGGATAAGTCATCACTAGTCAGGTGTGATGGCTCATGCCTGTAATCCCAGCACTCTAGGAGGCTGAGGCAGGAGGAATGGAATGTAAGTTCAACCCCAGCCTGGGCAATTTAGCGACTAAATCTCAAAAATAAATAAATAAATAAATAGAGCCAGGGAGATGGCTCAGTAGAATAAGCGCTTGCCTGGCAAGTGCAAGGGCCTGAGTTCTATCCCTGGGTCCGCAAAAAAGAAAAAAATAAAAAATAAAAACAGGGCCGGGGAGATGGTTCAGTGGAATAAGCACTTCCCTGGCAAGCGCAAGGGCCTGAGTTCAATCCCTGGTTCAACCAAAACAAAAATAATAATAATAATAATAAATAAATAAATAAAATTTAAAAAGCTGAAGCTATAGCTCAGTGCTAAGGTTCTGGGTTAAATCTCCAGTAGCCCCCCACACACACACACCCACAAGGGATCGCAGTAAGATTATCTGCTGACTTAGCATCAATTAGCCAGCCAGCTCTCCGCCCAACTCTAAATCTTCCATACATCCTTCTGGTCAGCCAGCTAATCATCTACCTCTTCACTTATTTATTTATTCATTCATCCTACTACACATTGATTCACACACCCATCCACTCATTTGCTTATAGTCAATCTAGGCACCCATTCACCCAAATATTTATTTATTTATGTGGGGGGGTGCAGCTTAGTCCACCAGGGGGCAGGGCTGGCTGGCATGTGGTGCTGGGGGATTGAACCACGGTCCCTGTGTTTTGCGAAGCTTGTTCTAAGTAGGTGCTTTAGACCACTGAGCCATCCCCCCAGCCCCATTCACCCAAATATTCCTAGAAACGTATCCTTCCACTTGTCATCTATCTGGCCACCAGTCCAGTTACATTGCACCAATACACCGATGTTTAAGGTCAGGGAATCTTAGGGAAACTTCAAAAGCTATCACAAGAGAGTTTGCAGGGAGGGCTCTCCGATCCCTCCTCCTTACCGCAGTGGGTCAGCAGGTCTTGATGAAAGTCCTGCAAATCCTGTCGGATGTCTTCCGTGAGGGGACACTCTTCCTCATCTGCACCATCTTTGAAGTGCAACAGCATGTTGATCTAGGGAGAGGTCAACCATGTGAACAAGGGTCAGAAGGTCCAGAACAGGAACTCTGAGATCCAACTGTAAGTCCCTGTCTAAGGTCATGAGCCAAAGTGGGTGAGTTAGAGAACATCAGGGAGATGAGGGAGGAGGTATGGAAGGGTCAGGGTTATTTGTAAGTGACACCAAGGTGTCCTATGTTCAAGGGTCAAGTACTGATTTTGAGATTAATGGGCACCATGGTCAATCAGGAGAAAGGCTGAGGCTGGGGCTTAGCCAGTGGGTCAGAGGACCTGTTCCTGGGGCGGAGAGCGGAACTCGCGGGTACGTCTTGCAGTCTCAGCTGCACTCATGGTGAAGGCTTTCATGAGGAGGCCGTAGCGGTCCCGCTGGTTGGCCTGGAGCTTGTCCACATAGCGCTCTGCAAAGGCTGCCAGAGACTCCACACGGTGCTGCAGCTCTTGGTCACAGAAATACTCCAACAGATGACACATCTGTGGAAGGACAGCCATACAGTAGGAGGGATGGTCATGAGACCACTGAGACCTCCTTGAAACTCTGCCTTCTCTGGGGTCCTGTTAGGTCCAGCCACCACCAACTCCTGCTCAGGGCCTTAAATCAGACAGAAGCCTGAGAGATCATTCCAAGCCAACATAGCTCCACTGCCCTAGTGACTTCTGCTTCCCCACTGCCACAATACAAAGTCTAGTCTCCTAGACTTGTGGCCCACTAGACCTCCAGATAGATGGAGACTGGAAGACAGGAACATCCAACACACCTGTAACTTCACAGACTCTGGAAGTTTCATTTGCAGCAGTCCCTCCTCCAAGTCTTCTTTCTCCCTTTCTGCTGCCTCCTCTTCCTCTTTTTCTTCATCTTCCTTCTCATGTGCCATTTCCTCCTCATCTTCCTCCTTCTCCTCTTCATCTTCCTCTTCCTCTTCCCCCTCCTCTTCCTCTTCCTCTTCCTCTTCTTTTTTTTCATCTTCCTCTTCCTCTTCCCCCTCCTCTTCCTCTTCCTCTTCCTCTTCTTCCTCTTTGAATACTTCAGGCTCAATCATCTTCAAGATCTGTTTCACATCCTCATCGCTAAAGACGCCCATCACCTGCAGGACAAGGTCTGAGTCCGTCATGTGACCTATAAGGTCTCCATAATCATGCCTACCTTCATTCACCTGCTTCTCCTGCTTCTGTACATGTCAAATTCATTTCTTCTTTGTCTGCTATGATTTCTTCCACAGGCAAAATGGCACCTGCTTCCTGTCATCCACCCCCTTCTGTCCTTCCTCCCAAGCCTGCATATATATGATTTTGGGACAGGACACACCCTACTTCTCAAGAAGACCCAGAGCTCCCAGCATACACCACCAGCTCAGCCAGCACAATAAAGATACTAATATATTGAAATATGGAAGGAAAGATAGAAAGTAGATGAAAGGGAAGAAGAGGAGAGAGAAAGATGGAGACAGGAAGGATGATTGTCTAGCTGAATCAGTAGATTGGATGGTAGAGGTTTGAAGGGGAAATGAATGAATGAACAAATCATGCTATAGAGATGAAAATAACGTGGGTGACGTATAATAGAATAAAAAACATATAGGTAGGCAGGTAAGTGTATGAATGGCTATATAGATGTATAAGCAAGTAAATGAATGTACAGGTAAATAATAACCATGGGAATGGGTAAGATAGGTAGAGGGATTAATTAATAAGATTATGCACATAAAGCTGGATAGAAATATAGATGAATGGTTATATGAGTATATGCATACAGGGTACATGAAAGGGTACATGAAATATAGAATGGAGAATGGATGGATGGGTGTAAATGGCTGGGTGGATTTGTGGATAGAGAATGGGTGTACCTACACAGGGCGGAGAAGTACAGAGGTAGGGCAAAGGTAAATGGAAGTGGAGGAATGGATGAATCTATGGGTGATTATACTGATAATGGATATAAATGGGATGATGGATGAAGAACTTGTGTGTGAATGAATGGAAGGATGAATGAATAAATGGTCTGAAACAGATACACAGATGGATGATAGATGGATATATGGGTAGAAGACAGGACGACAGAAAGGTGCCTGGACTTGTAGATGGGAAGATGAAGGTATATAATGAATGAGTGGAAAACAAATGGGTGGAAAGGTGGGTGGAGGATGGATGGACTGACAATGAATGAATGAATGATGGATGGATGGATGGAATGTGAAGAAGAATTAAAGAACACATGAATAGAAGATAGATGACCCGTGGAAGGAAATGTGAATAAAGGAAGGTTAGATAGTGGAGGTCATATCAAAGGTGGATAGGTAGATGAATGGAGAGATGGATGAGTTGGATGTATCACTGGGAGGGATTGATACATGGATGGAGGAATTATTTCAACTGTAGAATAGAAGAGGGAAGCAGGAGGAAGCCATTACCAGCAAGGTAGATACAAGCTTGAGCACAGGCACAAACTGGAACTCCACGGAGCCCCCGACAGGGTCTCGTGCATGCTGCCCACCGTCTCGCACAGCCTCGCCCAGCATTCTCAGGGCCTTGTCCCGCAGGGCCTCCAGAGGGATGGCAGGGCTCAGGCGGGCTGGGGCTTCTGCTGCCCCAGCTGCTGGCAGAGCCATCACAAAACAAGGGGGTGAGAAATGGTGTGGGGGCCTCAGGGAGGTTGTGACTCCAACACCAGGCAGGCCGTGGCGGCGGGGACCATCTTCAGAGTTGTGTCCAGGTGGGAAGAGTGTGATGGCACGAGTCTCAGATGTCAGGGGCACGATGTATTCTGAAAGCATGGAGCGGCGGCTGCGGCAGGCACTTTCAAGGTGGATGCTGATGAGGAGGTCGTAGTAGCCTGCACGCAGAGGGCCCGGCAGGTGTGCGTCCTCCAGTGTGTGCAGCAGCTGCGCCTCGTCCACGTGGCTGCACAGAGCATGAGCCACGCGGTTGTTGCCCAGGGCGCACACTGCTCGGTAGAGGGAGAGTGTGTGCGAGTGGAAGCGCTGTAGGTCCAGGCGCTCAGACAGCTCCAGGATGTCCATGCACCTATGGTGGAGGTGAGGAGCACAGGCAGGGGCAGGCAGGACAGGGAGGTGGCACATGGAGACACAGACCATGGAGAGGCAAAGAGACACTGTCAACGTTGTTGCTCTAGCAGGGACTCCCAGTGTCCCACAGGTCAGGGCTCTGGAGCTATGTCTGACAGTCTTTTATCAGTCCTAGAAGTCCCTAAGGGCCATTCTCAACTCATCCTTTAGGATCCCTTGGATGGCCTAAGACCCTGGGATCTCAGAAGCTCGCTAAGATGAGATGACCATGAGGTGTATCTAAGACCCCCAGATTGGGTTTGAAGCCTTTCTGGCAGATCTATGTACCCCGGTTATGTTTGAGGGCTGCTAGAATTTCAGCTCCACCAGGGCAGACCATTTCTGCCTGTTTTGTTTTTTTATTCCCAACACCTAAAACAGAACCAAGGACATAGAAAGTACTGAATGGATATTTGTTGAATAGGCCAGAGGGTGCATTTAGGGCCCTCGTGAATAATCTAAGCACCCTGAATTATATGTGAGCATTATTAGAATGTCACTTGATGCCAAAGGATTTGTGTCACTGGGCTAGAATGCTGCTGATTACATAGGAGAAGTCTGGTATTGCTTGTCAAATGAATGAATTAGGAAATGTCAGGAGCCTCTTGGGACCCCTGGCTGTGTGCAGAGACCTTAAGATTTCCAGGCATCGGAACACATCTGTAGCCCTGGGTGTGTCTGGGCCTCTTGGAATGGGTTGAGACCTCCATAGAACACATCTAAACCTTCTCTGAGTATTGTTCAGGGCCCAAGTCACTGTATGGATTCCATGATGTGGATCTGGATTCCCTAAGATGGGTTCCAGGCCTTGTAGTGTGGGTCTGGGGTCCCTAAGGTGAGTCTGGAGCACCCTGGGTATTATCTGGGAAGGCCTGAGCTGAGTCATTGTCCCCCAAATGGGGCCTCTGGAGTGGTCTTGTGTAGGAAGAGGCGCTGAGCTCAATCTGGACCCCAGAGGACTGACAGCATCTGTCTCAGTGCCATTTGGCTGGCCCTGACCTGTTCTCCTCAGGGATGTGCAATGCCATCATGGTCAGCGGCTCCTGGCACTGCACGGCCCAGCCAAGCCGCTCGCCAGCACGGCGCGTGTCCACCTGCAGGAAGTGGTTGGGCATGCGGCTCCAGGAGACTGGCATCAGCATCTGCACCTCCAACCGTGGTGGGCACTGCGGGGCTGGGTTCTTGCGCTCGCTCACAAACATAGCAGCAGACAGTGGCATGATGTTCTGGGGGTGCAGAATCATACATGGGTCAGGATTTCCAGCCCTCCCCAATCCTGCATCCCTTTGTGGGGTATCTCCCCCACCTCCTGCCTCAGCCCACCTAGGAAATCCTCCCCCTGCCTGCACTTCTACCTTCTGCTTCCCCAACTCAAATTGGATGACGTTCTGGTTGGTGGGCAAGACAAATACAGCAGGAAACAGCTTCGTGTTGGGTTCCACCTGCCAGAGCAGAAGAAGGCAAGCCTGAGGTGGGCGGGGGATTCAACCTCAAATGCCAGGGTCAGCCTTGCAGATCTACACTTGGACAGTGGGTACTACACACAGTGGAGCTAAGGTCACCCTTGGGCTGTGCCACCCTTGATCCAGCACACCCAGGATAACCTGTCATCCCCCCAATTTTTTTTTCTGGTACTGGGAAATGAACCCAGGACTGAACTACATACCCAGCCTTTCAATTTTTTTTTTTCTTTTGAGGCAGGATATCACTAAGCAGATGAGTTGCTCAGATTTGAACTTTCAGTCTTCTTGCCTTGGCCTCTCATTGTTCTGAGGTTGCAGTTGTGTGCCACCATGCCCAGCTTGTCATCTGTGTCTTAGTGTACCTGATACCACCTCCAGGGGGGATGTCTTTCCTATCTCTCTCTCTAGCATACTCATTTTTCAAGAACCAGAAAAAACAGCAGCCTTGGGAGGCTGAGGCAGAAGTACTGCGAATTGAAACCCAGCTTGAGGAATTTAGTGACTTACTGAGACCCTGTTTCAAAACAAACATTTTTTTCAAAAAGGCTGAGGATGTAGTTTATAAAGGTCCTGGGTTCAATCCCCAGTAGCATACTCACAGACAAAACAAAATGAAAATGGAGAGTGTCCTCTGACCACCCCTCCTCCATCTTCCCAATAATACCCATCCCGCCAGTCGCCCCCACTCCAAGTAACACCCTCTGTGCAGCAGTCTTTCCAAAAACAAACCTGAATCTAACTGCAACTCTAGATCCAACCCGCCAGTGTACAGGAATACAAGGGACAGAGGAAAGTTACAGAGACACCACAGGGGCTGTGGGCAAGGAGCCTGGCCCTGCCCAGGTGTTAATGTGCACCTGGGTCTGCTCTGGGATCTCAGTGAGATGCAGATTCAGATTCAGCGGGTCTGGGGAGGGACCTGAGATTCTGCTTTTCTTTTCTTTCTTTTTTCTTTTTTTTTGGTGGAACCAGGGATTGAAATCAGGTCCCAGAGCTTGCCAGGTAAGCACTTATTCCACTGAGCCATCTCCCCGGCCCCTGATTCTGCTTTTCTAACAGCTTTCCAAGAGGTGCTGGACCTGGTCGGGGAGTTGGCTCAGTAGAATAAGCGCTTCCCTGGCAAGTGCAAGGACAAGAGTTGTTGGACTTACAGGCCCCATGACCCCACTCTGAAGAGCACAAGCAGTTTGGTTTCTTTGAAAATATATTTGAAAGTGGGGGGAAAAAAAGAGGTAGGATGGGCTGGTGAGATGGCTCAGTGGTCTAAAGCACCTACTTAGAACAAGCTTAGCAAAGCACAGGGACCACAGTTCAATCCCCCAGCACCACATGCCAGCCAGCCCCACCCCCTGGTGGGCTGAGTTGGCCACACACACACACACACACACACACACACACACACACAAAATAAATTTTAAAAAAAAACATTAAAAAAAGAGGTAGGAGAAGAAACACGTGTATTAAAAAAAAAAGAAAAAAAAGACCTAAGGCACAATGCAACCAATTAAAAGATGCCACCAAGGGCTGGAGATGACGCTCTGTGGCACAGCACCTGCCTAGCTTATGTGAAGTCTGGGTTCCAGCCCCAGTTCTGCAGAAAGCAAAAATGATATATATGTGACTTTACCTAGATTCCAGATAAAGAAATGGTAAGAAGCCATTTTTCAGACAACCAGAGAAATTTGAACATGGGCTGGGTATTTAATGATAGTTAAGAACTATTGGGTTTATTTTTTCAAATGATAGTGGTATTATGGTTATGCATTTAAAAATAATCCTTATCTTTTAAAGATACACACTGAAAAGAGATGAAACTATATGATGCCTGTAATTTCCTCTAAAATCCTGCAGTGGCTGTAGGAGGGAAGTAGGCGTAAAGACGAAAGGAGATTGTCTGGGAGTGGGTGGTTGGAACTGTGTAACGTGGACCTGGTGGTTCATTATGCTATTCCATTTTTGTAGATTTCTCAAATTTCTCCATTTAAAATAAAAGTTTTACAAGACTCATCTTAGATGGATTAAATGGTAGATACATGGATAAATATGTGTTAAATCCAGTGTAGTAGAACATTAATGGTAGATTTTGGTGGTAGGCATCTAGGCGGTTACAATTCCTTCAATGTTACTGTATGCTTGAAAAATCTGTTTTTTCATAATAAAAAATGGAAAAGAAAAAGCCTTCCTTAAGATTTGGGCCCATGCTCAGTGCTCTGATTATCAAAAGGGGCCACCTAGTCCCTGAGGGATTATGAGTCTCTCTCCAAGGTCAAGCTATATTCTGTCTCCTCCATTCTGGGCCTCATTTTAGTGCAAGGTTGAACTAGGCAGTCTCCCCGAGGCCTCCCAAGCACAGATGCGCTGTTTCTCTTCAGTCTCTGTGGAGTCTGGCCTCTGGGTGGGTCTGGAAGGCTCATCCTAGGATGCTGGGACATGACAGTTCTGTTGCTAAGTTCCTGAGGGCTGGGCTCACCTGAAAGAAGGTGTTGCTCTCTTTGCCATTGGCTGTGAAGGTCATTAAGCCAGTGGCCAAGTCTACCAGGCAGCCAATGATAAGGTCTGTGTGGCTGATCCGGCCCTGCTGCCCAGGGCTCACGAAGTCTCCACCCCATACCATGTAGCAGTTGCTGCACTTGAGGCTGGAAGAGACAGGAGTGATCACTGCATAGATCCTCAGTCCAGGAACTCTGGATCCTGGACCCACCCCTCCTCCGCAACTTCCCGCAATACAATGACCTCAGGACCCCATTCCCAAACGCAGACCACAATACTGAGACACCCCCCCCTTACCCTAGGCCCTGACCTCTCAGAGTTAGAATCCTTACTGGCTGATGGCAGGTGGGATGGAAGTGGCAGGGAGGGAGCAGAGGGAGAGAGAAGAAAGGGGGAAATGAAAGAGAAGGAAGAAGGAAAACAGAGAAGTAGAAATAGAGGAGGCGAAGAAAAAACAACGGGAGCAATTTGAAGCAAGTGAACAGGCAGGAGGAGGAAGGGGAGGAGGGAAGCTTCTGAGCTGGGTGCGGGGAGAGGTTCCAGGGATCCCTCTTGCTCTGCAGGGCTCCCAGGTCCCATGGCCAGGCAGCCACAGGACTGTGGCAGGAGCTCAGCTTCCTCCTGCCTGCCTCCCATCCCTCCCCGATATCCCCGTGACCTGGCACCTGCTGTGGACGTTGCCCTGCTCGTCCCCCATGGTCACCGTCACTGCCCGGACCTTGCTGAGGTCGAAGTTCATATCATGCTGATGGTAGTCAGGGGTGACCCAGCCCACCCACACACAGCTGGGCTCCTGACCCGCGAAGAGCCTCACGGAGTAGTAGTACTGGGGATACACAGAGGGAACAGAGGTCAGTTGGGAAGATTCTTAGGGGTCCCTGCAGCTCTGAATTCATTTCCCTGGATTCTCAGGGTCTTCTGGAAGCATAACAGGAAGTGGCAGGAATTAAGATCCACCCTCATATCTATATCTCTGTTTCTGTGGCTTCCAATGCAGTTCCAGATTTGGGAGTCTCCTGGGAATATTGTTGCGACCCCCTACATCTAAGTCCCTCCCTCAGGTTACCACAAAGAAATGAGTAACAGCTCATAAGTAGCACTTAATGTGCTGTGATTCTTTACATAAAGTAACTCACTTTTTCTGTGTGTCAGGTGGGTACAATTTTTATCTTTACTTGACTAACGGGGGGGGGAGGGGCAGCTGGTTTACTCAGTTCTTTAAGCCCAAGTGCCTGCTCATGCAAATGCAGTCAGGCTCAGCATACCATGGTTAGAAGCCCACCTCCACCTGCCTTACCAGACCCGCCCTTTAAGGCAGGCTGAGCCAGCCAAAAAAAAAAAAAATCCTTCTCAACGTTACTAACGGGGACACTACAGTGTTTTCACGAAAGGGAAAGAAAGCACAGAGCTGGTGTAACCTGGCCAAGTAACCTGGTCAAGTGGCATCTGGGTGATCCATGATCCTAACCACTAGGCTGTTTAATAGAATATTCCAGATTTGGGGAGTCTTAAAGTTATATTGAATGACAAGTGAATTTTTTCTACCCAGGATATATCAGAGGGCTTAATTAAATTTGGTATTCTGTGTTTAGCTGTATAGCCTCACATGGTGAGTATTCCCTGGATTTTAGGGTCCCTAAGAGTTTCATCAGTGTACCTCATCATTTCCTTGTGCTCCCTGCTGTTTTTAGGTCACTAATTGTATGGACTAGGGGTTTAAAGGATCAAATCCTTCCAAATTTGAAGCATGCTGGACTTTGGGGCTTTCTGGTGTGTACTGGGGTATCCTCAGCTATAGGCATTGAAGCAGGAAATTAGAAAGGGGTGTTCTATGCTACTCTGAGAAGTCCCCAAATTTGAGGGCTCCTGGTTCTCACTGTGGTTGTGTTGAGGATGATTTCTGGGTCATCACGGTCATCAGTGGGCACCACATCGTGAGGGAGTCGGGGCAGAGTAGGGGTGGCTGGTGGTTGGGTCATCATGGCGACCTTCTTGGCCTTGAATAAGAACCTGGCGGTGGGAGGAGAGGCAACCGTGAGAAGCCACTTTCTGGCCCTGGCCCTGCCCCCTGACAGCAACAGCTGTGCCTGCCACCCCCACCCCCACTGCACCTGCCTCTACCAGTGTACCCAACCCCTTGCCTCTAGCGGGCTTGGATTCCAGACCCCCAAGCCTGACCCACTCTGGAGGTATTGCATGCTGGGTCACCTACATTCAAAGCCTTCTGGGAACATGGGGTTCCCCTTTAGGACATATAGTGGTCCCCCTAAATCAGCATTTCTCGTCTGTGCTCCTTAGATGGCTGCTAAATGCACTTGGGAAGGGCAATTCTTCCACCTTGTGGTGCTGCTGTACACTCTGAGGCATGTGGGACCCCTGGAGCCTCCTAGCAGTGGCCCCCAAATTGTGGTGACCAACAGTGCTATCATTTCCAGATCCCCCCAATGGTCAGAACTACATCCCATTGACAACCACTGCTGCAGAGGGAGCCGTGAAGACTCTCTTTCAACTTGATGCCTTCTCAGGGTCTCCCTTGACATAGTTTTAGAGGGTACATTTGAGAAATGGGATCCCAGGTGGTTTTTCACTGGGCTATCTGGGGGATACAGTAAAGTGCCCAAGATAGCAAATTCCCTTTTAGTGTCATGAATAATGAAGCCCACTGGCTGAGGCTCTTGGCTGCCCACCAAGTACTTGAGGATAGTACAGTTCCCCATACCACCCACACAGTAGGGCTCTCCTGTTTTACACTTTCAGGAAAACCAGAGCATCCCTGGAAAATCATGGGGTTCACTTGGGACCACATAGCAACCCTCAGTATTGTGATTTCACTTAGCATATATGGGACCACTTTGGGACATACGGGCGGGGGCGGTATCTCAAATTATTAAGGTTGCATAATTGGGAGTCCCAAGAAAGGTCTCAAACCCCACTCTCAACTCACCCTCTCTTCTTGTTCTTCTCTGTGGTAGCATCCTTCTCATTCTCGGCCCTGGCAGGCTGGGCCTCCACCCCAGCCTGAGGGGGGCCCCCGGGGGCTCCCTCTTTGGCAGTTCCTTCCTTGCCTCCTTCTGCCTCACCCCATCCCCCAGCTGAGCGACGCAGGTTTTCATAGTCAGGGTCAGGTTCTGCTGCCCGGGCCTCGTCCTCAGCAGGGGGCTGCAGGCCAGGAGGTGCCAGGGGGGTGGCCCCAGCAGTGCAGCGGAAGTGCTGGTGGAACTGGACTGGAAGGCTCAGCCGCAGAAAGAGCATCTCCACCAGGCTGTTCTGGGAGCCCCAGGTGCGGTGGGTGAGGCGAAGGCAAGGAGGTGTATCCACGGTACCATCCATGCGGGACACCTGGAGGGGGCGGGAAGCACTGAGTGGGGACAGTGGCCAGGCCAGGCCGTTGGTCTTAAACCTGGTTACACATGGAGCCATTCATAGGCCTTAGAGTCCCTAAGTAAGAATTAACCAAAGACGTTCCCTCCTGGGAGCTAATAAAGCTCTGTGTAAGGCACACAGCTCTGCATGGGGTACTTTGGCTCTCTGTCAACCTCTGCTGGTCACTTTGCACAGTGGCAGCCTGGCCAGTATAATAGAATCACTTGAGAGGACTTTTAATCCCTACCTATGTACAGGACTCCAGCACAAGCCAGCCAGCCCACAACTATTTACTGAGCATCTACTATGTTCCAGGCCTTTGGTAGGTACTGGGAACACATCAGAAGACAGAATGAAAACTTCCTGCCTGGGCTCTCTGGGAGACCCCTGAGGGAGGAAAGTTCAGAAGAGCCAGAGTTTTGTAAAAGCTCCCCAGGTGAATTTTTGTTCATTCCTGTGTATGAGGAAATGTAAGCTCAGAAAAGCATGCATATCCTAAACACACAGCAGGAAGAGCTGTCACAGGGCGATGTCTGTCAGGTTTGTGGCAGCTGAAGCTCAAGCCACATGGAATTCACATTCTTTACAGGCTGAGAAAAGGACCTGGTTTGGTTTGTGTGGGAGTATTTGTAGTTAGTATCTACCTCTAGCTAACCATAAAAGAGAAAAGATACTATCAGGCCTGGTGGCACATGCCTGTAATCCCAGCTACTGGGAAGGCTGAGGCAGGAGGATCTCAGGTTCAATCCTAGCCTGGGCAATTTAGTGAGACCCAAAGTAAAGAAAAGAGGCCTGGAGATGTAGCTTAGCACCTCTGGATTCAATCCCCAGTACCACCAAAGAGAAAAAAGGAAAAGACAAGGAATCCTGAAAATTGACATGCATGTATTAAAAATGAAGAGCTACTAAAACCAAAACTAAACTAAAAAATAATTTGAAAGCTCAAAAGTCACTAATAACTCATAAGAGAGATGCCAAATACGTACCTAGAAATCTATTTCTTTCTCTTTTCTCCCTCTCCCCCCAACCCCTTTTCCAGTACTAAGGAATGAACTCAGGGTCTTCAAGTTTACACTGAGCTACCTCCCACCTTTTAATTTTATTTTTTTAAACTTTTATTTTGAGGCAGAGTCTCACTAAGTCACCTGATTGCCTAGCCTGGTCTCCCAGAATGCTGGGATTACAGACACACGTCCTTACTCCTCACTGTATTTATATTCTTTTTAGGATCAGGTAGCTGAAAAGGATTAGAAATTTTCACTGGGGCCACTGAATTGAGCTTCTCTTTTCTCCCTTTCCCCATTTTAAAGATGTAGCACTTAGGATTCTAGAAGGTATAGTCTGCCAAAGTTATACCCCAAAGGCAGCCTCCAAGCCCATTGTCTGACCCCTTCTACATGGCTTCTGTGCTGTGCTGAAGGAAAGGCGAGACTCGAGACAGAGAGGTGAGAAGAACAAGGTGTGGAGACAAATCAGAAGGTACTGGGTCTTGCTGGGGCTGGTCCTCACCTCATAGTGCGGGTGGTCAAGGGGCACCGGCTCAAACTGCGGGAGGCTTTTGCTGAACCAGGTGGTAACTGGCCGCTGCATGTTGATGGCGAATGGCTCGAAGCCTTCCTGGAGACCACAGATGGCGAAGAACCGCAGGGAGCTCACGTCCTGGCCCAGGTTCAGGTGACCCACCTGGCCGGGTCCCAAACTGCACACAGGCAGGAAGCCTAGGGGAAGGGGATGGATAGCAGGGTGAGTAGGTGGGCAGGGTGGGCAATGGCGTGGGGAGGACTGTGGAAGGGACAGCGAGAGGCAGAGAGTCAAGTGCAAATTCAAGTGAGACGGAGGCAAACCGGGATGGCATATGCGGTGTTCTTGCTCTCACCCTCCCCAATCTCAATCTCCCGGAAGGCTGTCTCAGAGCCGGAGTCAGACATGAGGACCTCGCCATTGAGGGTGAAGATAATGGTGTTCTCAGTGAGGTCGATCATGCAGCCAACAACATCACCAGACTGCCAGGGACGCCCGAATGGCTCACTGCCCAAATGCCAGCGCTGGCCCTGTGAGGGAAGCACAGGAGAGATGTGGAAACACACACATGCAAAACACTGGGCTCCGGATGTGGAGGACAGAGAAAGAGTCACCCCAGTGTTCCCATCTTTTCCCACATTTGCATCCCTGGTCATTGGAAATGCCTTCCTCACTGCTCTTTGTAACTCCTCTCTGCTGCCTGAGTCCCCTGCTGCTCCCACGGCTGGGGCTATGTAGACCACCAAAGTGGTACTGGGGACTGGTAGCAGCAGTGAGTAGAGAGATAGAAAGGGAGGGTGCACCTAGCAATGTCTTCCGTACAGGCCCATGTTTGCCCATGTGAATCTACAGAATAAGGGCTGGTGAGATGGCTCAGTGGTCTAAAGCACCTACTTAGAACAAGCTTAGCACAGGGACCGCGGTTCAATCCCCCAGCACCACATGCCAGCCAGCCCCGGCTCCAGGTGGGCTGAGCTGGCCACACACACACACACACACACACACACACACACACACACTAAATAAAATAAATTAAAAAAAACTTTAAAAAAATAAAAAATCTACAGAATAGAGGGGCAGATATTATGGGGGGGATGAGAACATTGGTGTAGTGGGTGGCTGGACAGAGGAACAGATGGAAAATTAAGAGTCTACATGGGTTGGAAAGGAAGTATAAGTAGATGGATGGATGGATGGATGGATGGTAGATGGATGGTGGATGGATGGATGGATGGTGGGTGGATGGTGGATGGAGGGATCAATGGATTGATAGATCAATAGATTTGTAGGGTAGATGAATGGATGGATAGATGAGCAGATAGGTAGGTGAATGGGTAAGTAATGGTAGATGTAGACAAGTGGACAGAGTGAGGCACAGACAGAGGTAGGGCTAGAGTGCATGACCGTGGGATGGACCACACAGCCTGGCAGGGTAGAGCCAGGGGATGCTTACACGGTGCCCATTGAAGACATAGGCCAGATCATCAGCTCCCAGCTCCACATCTGGCCGCAGCTCAGGCCTCGCCCAGCCCACTCTCATCTCGCCTGTGGTAACTGCCTCGAACTCGAAGTACCAGCGGCCACTCTGTACCGCATAGGATTTCTCTGCCCTGAAGATGCGCACGCGGTCCCAACGCGACTGGCTGTCCACCTGACCTACAGAGGAGTGCAGGCAAAGTCAGGGGAGGCTGGGCAGGAAGTGACTCCTGAAGCTTCGAGAGACTGCTGGGAGAGACCGGAAAGGGTGAAACCCTTGGGTAACTGGGAGGAGAGGGACAATTTCTTGATGTAGGACTGGGGAACCTCAGCCTAGTCAGGGAAGTAGGAGGGACCTATGAGAGAGAGACAGATCCCTGTCTTGTTAGTAATCAGAGCTCACAGAAAGCAGAAAGACTAACAGAGACACAGGAAGAAAGCGGTCAGTGCCCTGATCAGGATTATTGTCTGGGATTAAGGATCAAGACCAATTTTTAGAATCAAGGATTGAGAGCAGGAATGAGGCAGGGTTCGAGTCAGAGTTAGGGTCATACCAGACTAGAAATTGGGGCTGGGATCAGGAGTTAAGAAAGGATTAGGGACCATGGTCAGGATTCTAGGTAAAGGCTGGAACTATGAGTCACTGAAAAGTGAGGATTGGATTGGGATGAGGTTAGAGATCTAATCCCTTGGTTGTGTGGCTCTATGTTGTAGCTATAGTTCAGAAATAGGGCTGGGGTCATAGATGGAGTCCAGGAGTTGGATTAGGGCTGACATCAGCACTCACTGGGCTCTGGATTGAGCCCCAGAAAGGACTGCGTCAGACCAAAGTCAGTGATCTGATGAGGTTCAGGGCTGGGGTCAGGGAAGAGTTGGAGCTGAAGGGAAGGGTCATGGTTCACTGGCTTCCTGATCAGTCCACTCAGTTGCCCATTCAGGGGGTGAGTCAGGTCAAAGGTCAGGGATTTGGGGTCAGGGTCTAGACAGGATCAGGGATGGGGACCAGGTCAGCACTCACTGGGCTCCTGGTCAGGCGGCTCAATGTTGTAGCCATAACCCAGCAGGGTGCGCACAGCCTGGCACAGGCTGTCCCGGTTGCTGCGCTTGGTGGCCTCGTCCAGCAGGCGGTAGGGCACAAGGCGGGGGTTTCTGCGTGCAGGGATGTCCTGCACAGCGCTGTAGCTCCAGCCCTGGCCTACACGGTCTCTTGCCCACACATTGTGCCCATTCTCTGCCAGCCGATCTACCAGTGTGGTCTGTGCAGGTGTCAGTCGCACATGGCTCAGGTCCAGGGGAGCTGGCTTGTACCCATTGCTCATCATATACCTGCGGAGGGAGAGGCGTGGGATGAAGCTCTGCTCGCCACTGCTGGGTTCTGTACTATGGGGTCAGCATTTCCAGGATCCTTATCTCTGAGCTTCGCAATTTCCTTCCTTCTTGCCTTCCTTCCTTCCTTCCTTCCTTCCTTCCTTCCTTCCTTCCTTCCTTCCTTCCTTTCAGCTTTGGAATTTCTGACCTTTGGTCCTTCTCCTCTTCTCTCCCCTTCCTTCTGTTCCCTTCCCCTCTGCTCCCCACTTCTTCTCCTTCTCATCTTTCTCCTCCTTTCTCTCTCTCTCCTCAGCTCTTTCCCCTCTTTTTTTTTTTAATAATTTCTTTTTTTTTAAGAACACTTTTTTTTTTAATATTTATTTTTATTTATTACATTTATTTATTGTGTGTGTGTGGCCAGCTCCAGCCCACCAGGGGGCGGGGCTGGCTGGCATGTGGTGCTGGGGATCGAACCGCGGTCCCTGTGCTTTGCCAAGCTTGTTTCAAGTAGGTGCTTTAGACCACTGAGCCATCTCTCCAGCCCCAAAAT